AATCCTCTTCAAGAGTAGAATTTAACAGGGATTTCAGTTATCATTTTCAAAGATATTTGAGTTCTCTCCAATAGTTCCACTTACAAAAATCTTGACATTTGGCACACTTTTAGAATGCTGCTATTTGAATTTCTTTGTAATCTATGAAAATTTGTCTTATATTACTTGGCCAAAAGGCATTCATATTTTTAGGTAATGGTGTAATTTCTTCTATGGATTAAAGTTCAATAGGGGAAGCATCCATTCTTCGCATTCTTTCAGAATCCTTTACCTATGGAGGCTACTAGGAGTGTAATATGAAATCTATTCTTTGGGCTCCTTCACTAGATTTGATGGAGTAGTCAAATAAAGGGGGGGGGTGTATAGAGATATTGTATATCGTATAAGAGGCTGAAAATTTATTGTATATTGTATAAGAGGGGGCAAAATTTATCGTATATGGTATAAGAGGTGTAGAAAATATGGTATATGGTATAATAGAAATATATGGTATATGGTATCTAGAATTAATAAGGCTAATTATGAAGAAATTGTACCCTAAAGTTCCCAATTGTGCCAACTCTCTTACTGTAACTGGTTGGAAAAACATGGAAAAGTAGTCTCTCTAATTGGTTCCACATTCCAGGTCAATCAATACTGTATGTTTAGAGAAAATCATTCTCAAACTAAGAGTTTTGTGGCCTTTTCATTCAAATTTTCACAGGAGGTGTTAAATACGGTCTCGAATAAGAATCCGCCCGGTGATCAGAAGAAATGAACGGAGGGGTAGTAGCTGATTTTCGGTAGAAAATTCAACAAATTTGAAAATTTATTTTTTCAAGAGAAAGTTTACAATTGAATGGCTAAATGAATAGGCGCAGTGAACAGGGAAATATGTTAGGTCTTCTTGGATTTTTTTTGAACTGTGGAATTCTAAGATAAAAGATCTATTAAAAAAGTGCAGCGTCGCCAACGTGCAAATGCCAATGTTTTTGCTATCAAGCAACAGCGGTCTACACGACCTGTAATAAATACTTGTAAGTGGAGTAATTATCACAAAACTATTGTCATCGTTGGTTTTGCAAAAAAACGTTACCATACGTTATATAAAAAGTAATCGAAAATTATTAAAATTGAACGGAGGGGGGAGTAATGTGTCTATAAGACATATGAAAAGAGATGTAACTTGACTTTATTTCCAATAACTCCATATGTCCCCATTTTTCACTTTTCAGAGTTGTAACATCAAGCTGTTACTGAGTTACTGAGTTCATTTTTCAAGTACTCGAATTTCTTGGAGATTTCTTCCACCTTAAAGACATATTACTCCCCCCTCCGTTCACTCCCCCCTCCGTTCATTTTTAATTATTTTCGATTATTTTTTATCTATCATTTGGAAAATTATTCTAAAAAACCGGCAATGAAATTAATTTTGTGATAAAAGTGTCGCTTATATATATTTATTACAGGTCGAGCAGACCATTGTTGCTTGATTTATAGCAAAAACATTGGCATTTGCACGTTGGCTACGCTGCACCTTTTTTAATAGATCTTTAATCTTAGAACTCCATCAGTTCAAAAGAAATCCAAGAAGACCTAACATATAAATCAGCTACTCGCCCCTCCGTTCATTTCTTCAGATCATCTACATGGAAGTTGAAGTCCTTTATTTCTGAAACTGTTTTCAATACTTAATATTTTCCAGGTAACTGCTTTACAAAATTATTGTGCATTGTGAATCTTCATTATCTATCTGATACATATTTTACTCAGCAAACTTTATTTTCATAGAAAACATGATGAATCTTTTATTCCACATTCTCAATTTTGATCAATTATGTTTCAAGGAATTTTTTCCCTGGCTCACTATGATGAATTCTCTTGACATTAAAATAAGTCATGGGAAAGTAAGTCATAAGAAAGAGGAACACTCAGAGTTCCACCCATTCCAATGATGCAGGTTTTATGCTTATTTTGAATATCTTTATGGTACTTTTACAGGTAATGGCTGTAGCAAATTGCAGAAATGTTAAGTTAGTTTTTTGGTCAAAGTAGGTTGTGAAATCACTAAAGAGAAGTCATGAATCTTATACCATAAATGTGTTTTAAATCAACTTGCTGAAATTAAAATGTGGTCACAGCTTTTCTGAACATGCGGAATGCGGATGTACCCGAATGGTGCCTTATTCATAATGTAATAAATGAAATCATTGTGGTATGTATGTGGAGTCTATTTGCCTTATAATAATAATACATTTACTTTAGTACATGGATTCTCTCCTAATATTATTTCCTTATAAATATCCAAACTTTAATCAACAGCAGTTTCAAAATTATCGTATATTGTATTTCACCTGAACTTTTGTAAAATATCGTATATGGTATAAGAGCTGTGAAAAATATTGTATATGGTATAAAAGGGGTGAAAAAATATTGTATATGGTATAAGAGAGCTGAAAAATATTGTATATGCATTTCCAAGACCCTCTATACACCCCCCCCCCAATAAACCTTTCCAAAACTCCAAATTTCAACATATAAATTAATCCTAATTTTCCTTTTGTCATAGCCATTGTATTGATCACAAAAGTTTTATCAATTTGTGGTATGGGTTCATCGATCTCCATTTCAAACCCCTTTTTAAGTTCTGATTTTACAGGATAAGATACATGATCATTGTCAAACGAAATGTTTGTATCAATATAAGATCATAGTTTACTCCCACATAGCTAGGCAAGGTGTGTCCAATTCCAGCCAATTCAATACTTCATATAACTGCATTCCAATTTACTACTCTCATAAACCCAAGGTCAATTTTAGATTCTAGAGAAACTTATATGAAACCAATAAGCTGATTAATTTCATTGATTAAAAATCTATAAATAGCATCTTAGGGAATAGCATGCCAAGTGCTTGTATTTGAATTTATGTGGATTACTCATCTGGTAGACACCTTTATTAAATGTTATAGTGTTGTTGATTTTCAAGTTGTACAAGCATAGTGTCATGGGTACTTTCTTTTCCTGACATAGTATTAACTTTGTGGTAAAAATTATCAAAGGCACCTAGTACAGTAGTTCTAGTTCATCATCTTGTATAAATGATATATCAACAGTGAAACCTGTATATCCCAACATCTGACTATTGTGAACACCTACCAATCATCCCAACACCTGACTAATCTGAACACCCACCAATCTGAACACTTTTCCCAGTCCATTTTCCTCCCATTGACTCCTATGTTTAAAAAAATTGAAATCTGAACACCTCTTAATTCGAACAGTGAACACTCATATTTGAAAGATTAACCTGTCTTACTTGAACCCTTTTTACCAAACATCACATATTTCTCACAAAATTGCTCAAATATTGTCAGTTTAACACCGAATTGTTATGATATCAAAACGTTTGAATTGGATTTTGGAATGCTATTAAGCTTTTTATGTGGTCAGTATAAATATTATTAATATTTATTAATATTTTTCATTGAGAATGCATTCATATTTCTTCAAAATTCAGAATATTGCAGATGTAAAAACCTCAAAATTCAAATACTCCTTATTAGAATGCTTTTAGCTAGTCCAAATAGCATTCAGATAAGGGAGATTTTACTGTAGTTCATGACTTTTCACTCCATCTATATGCAGCAGACTAACTGATGCAACAGGTATTGTTCAACACCTGGTCTCTAAGCTATATCATAGTTGATACTAATATGCTCATAACCTTTGATTATCAGGGCTCACTCAAGGCTGAACCTGAATAATGTGAATTTGAGACATGATATTTCTCAACTTTCCAAATTTTGCACTTGTTTAAAACCTTGAACTTCTTAAAACTCATCTTAGCTGTCTTTTACATTTTAGTTAAACACTCTAAAACTATATATTTCATCACTGAGGTATAGACGTAAAAACCATAAGGGTCATCTTTGGCTATACCTGAAATTCGTAAATTTGAAACCTTATATTTACAATTTTTCAAATTTTGGACTTCTTAAAAACCTTAAGCTTCCTTAAAACCCTTCTAAATTGTGTTTTACATATTAGTTCTACACAACAAAACAACAAATATCATCATAAAGGGATGGATCTAGAAACTATGGGGGTCAGCTATGGCTATACCTGGAATTCGTAAATTTGAAACCTTATATTTACAATTCTTCGAATTTTGAACTTGTTTAAAACCTATAACTTCCTTAAAACCCATCTAAACTATGTTTTACATCTTAGTTTCACACTATAAAAGCATAAATATCATCAAAGAAGGATGGATCTAGAAACTATAGGGGTCAGCCATGGCTATACCTGGAATTCGTAAATTTGAAACCCTATATTTACAATTTTTCAAATTTTGGACTTGTTTAAAATCTTTAACTTCCTTAAAACCCATCTAAATTATGTTTTACATCTTAGTTCCACACTATAAAACCATAAATATCATCATAGAGGGATGGATCTAGAAACTATAGGGGTCAGCTATAGTCGTACACAAAATCCAGCTGTCAAAAATGTCAAATTTTTCGAAAAATCAACAATTTTTTTCTCAGCTCCTACCTCTTCCATGGCTTTGCTTCTTTCAGGGTCACTAACCCTGCTATTGGGCACTTCATATAAATTTTTTCAACCTCTTACAGTGTCTAATTGAAAAGTTAGAAACAAAATAGTAAGAAAATGAGTCACGGATTTGCCCCCTAGGGTACACACTTTGTACTAATATTCAAATGCTCTAGGAGTAATTAGCATCAATTATACTACAAATGATTCATATATATAATATCTATGTATGTCACTTACAAACATCAGAATATCTAAGGCTATTTAGTGTGAACAATATTTTTCCCTGGGGTTGTGTGTTTTTGGGGGGTGGGGGTCTAACTCCTCAAAAAAAAGAACTTCCTACCACTCTGCGAAGCTATCACCTAGGTGGAACTTTCATCAAAGACTCTCCCCTACCTGAAAATGCTGCCAAACCAACTATACACCATTTATTGAGAATTTTCCTCCTCGCCCCTTGAGTATTATTGAGATTGTACTATGTATTTATTTTGGATGTTTGAATAATGGTATGGTATGGTATGGTTCTTTATTTCCTCCAATTTGGAGAGCAAATTAATACAAAGGACAAATTATTAAATTACAATATATACATTAGATACAATAGATACAAAATAACAATATGTGGCGAAATGAGTAAGGCAAGGTAATATTTGCTTACGACGTGAATTCTTTAAGCATAGCGCTTATTGTATGTATGTATTTATTTTGGATGTTTGAATAATGGCTTCCATTCCAATCCACCATGACTTGTGTCAATCACATCCAATAAAACTGAAGTTATCACAATATTTTATAGGCTTATCACTACTTCCTGGTGGTGTCATAGAATATATATATATTGAAACACAATACTGAATTTAATTTAGAAAAATTATTCATATTATCCTTTATTAAATATACTAAAATACTATACTGTGTAAAATAAATCTATTAAATATACCATATTGTGTTTTCTTTAATTTCTGAGTATTTAAGGCCTGTCTGATTACAGTGGTGGCGGTAGCTATATTATTTTGCTAGTCATTTTGTGATTGTATCTAAAAGAAATTCAGTTCTCCATCTTAACTCCCTGCACTTAAGCCATACAGTCTGTATCTATAAAATTATAGAGAGCCAAAATAAATAACATCCAACATTATCAAAGTTTCCTGGGGCTGTGAATTCGTACGATCCTCAATCCAATCCGGATAAAATTCATCTTTTGGGATAAATCTTGGATTACTAATCCGGTAAATGTGTGATGAATTTGTACGATACAGGGATTATGAGGGCGAATCCCCAAGAAATATCCAATTTGCAGTGGAATTCAGATAAAATTTATCCAAAAAGTAATCCACTTCAAGAGGTGGATTGATCGAGATTTATCCCGAGATTAATCCCAGGATCGCACAAGTTTTTGGATTAATTCTAAGATCAATCCCACAATGCATCATTACCATGACAAAATTTATCCGGATTGGATTCCGTATCGTACAAATTCACAGCTCCTGGTGAAAAAGAAACACACCTATCATCTCCCAAATTTTGACCGGATTTATGTGTTGGTGATATATGGTATGATACATCTTATGTCCACCACCAGGTTGCAGGCATTTTTGACATGGCATTCCACATATCATAGTAATGATTTCTTAACTTCACTATTGATTAGTTTTGCCCCATTTTGCACTCTATGGCTGTGCATATAATGTCTATCTTTGTTCATAGTCCACTATAGTTTACCAAACATCATAATGATGATTTTCCTAAGTTCACTATTCAATAGTTTGCCCCATATATAAGGGTGTGCATCTATTGTCTATCTTTGTTCATAGTCAACCAGAGTTTCATAATGATGATTTCCTAAGTTCACCGTTCAATAGTTTGCCCCATATTGAGCTATAGGGGTGTGCATGTATTGTCTATCTTTGTTCATAGTCTACCAGAGTTTCATAATGATGAATTCTTAAGTTCACCGTTCAATAGTTTCCCCCATATTGTGCTATAAGGGTGTGCATATATTGTCTATGTTTGTTAATAGTCAACCAGATTTTCATTATGATGATTTCCTAAGTTCACCGTTCAATAGTTTGCCCCATATTGAGCTATAGGGGTGTGCATGTATTGTCTATCTTTGTTCATAGTCTACCAGAGTTTCATAATGATGACTTCTTAAGTTCACCGTTCAATAGTTTGCCCCATATTGTGCTATAAGGGTGTGCATATATTGTCTATGTTTGTTCATAGTCTACCAGAGTTTCATAATGATGACTTCTTAAGTTCACCGTTCAATAGTTTGCCCCATATTGCACTATAAGGGTGTGCATATATTGTCTATGTTATTTCATAGTCACACCATAGTTTCATTATGATGATTTCCTAAGTTCACTGTTCAATAGTTTGCCCCATATTGTGCTATAAGGGTGTGTATATATTGTCTATCTTTGTTCATAGTCCACTATAGTTTAAACCAAACATCACTATTCATTAGTTTTGCCCAATATTGCATAGTTTCATAATGAAGATTTCCTAAGTTCACTGTTCAATAGTTTGCCCCATATTGCGCTATAAGGGTGTGCATGTATTGTCTGTCTTTGCTCATAATCTACCATTGCTCTGCCCTCATTTGCCCATTTAAATATGCTCCCTTCTAAGTTGAAGATCTTGGTTGTCTTAAAGGAGCTAGCACTTGGACCTGCAAATATATGAATGAATTACATAAGGACTGTATACTTGGGGGTTAGATATGGGATTTATCCCGAGGGAGCGTATATCTGAACAGATGCACTAAAGATCAGTGATCTTTTTTTACTTTTTCCTTTTTTTGGTGAGCATGAATATGACAGATATTTCTGTATGCAAATACTGTTTCCTTGTTGGAATATATATTCATACAATTTATCTACCAAAAATCTTGGGAGGTACAGACATGAGACAGACATTTAACAGAAACATGACCCAGACAAGAGGCAGGTATGACAAAGATGTGAGGCAGGCATAACACAGACATGTGGCAGGCATGACACAGACATGTGGCAGGCATGACACAGACATGTGGCAGGAATGACACAGAAATGACACAGACAAGAGGCAGGTATGACACAGATGTAAGGCAGACATAATGCAGATATGAGGAAGGCATAACACAGACAGGCAGGCATGATACAGACATGAGGCAGACATGACACAGTCATGAGGTAAGCGTAACACAGACATGAGGCAGGCATAACACACACATAAGGTAGGCATAACACAGACATGAGGCAGGCATAACACAGATATGAGGCAGGCATAACACAGACAAGAGGCAGGCATAACACAGGCATGAGGCTGGCATAACACACACATGAGACTGGCATAACATAGACATGAGGCAGGCATAACACAGACATGAGGCAGGCATAACACAGACATGAGGCAGGCATAACACAGACATGAGGCAGGCATAACACAGACATGAGGCAGGCATAACACAGATATGAGGCAGGCATAAGACAGACAAGAGGCAGGCATAACACAAATATGAGGCAGGCATAAGACAGACAAGAGGCAGGCATAACACAGGCATGAGGCAGGCATAACACACACATGAGACTTGCATAACATAGATATGAGGCAGGCATAACACAGACATGAGGCAGGCCTAACACAGACATGAGATTGGCATTACACAGAGATGAGGCAGGCATAACACAGATATGAGGCAGGCATAACACAGACATGAGGCAGGCATAACACAGACATGAGGCAGGCATAACACAGACATGAGGCAGACATGACACAGACATGAGACTGGCATAACACAGACATGAGGCAGGCATAACACAGACATGAGGCAGGCATAACACAGACACGAGGCAGGCATAACACAGACATGAGGCAGGCATAACACAGACATGAGACTGGCATAACACAGACATGAGGCATGCATGGCAGGCAATTTGCCTTTCATTACTTTTACAGACAAATATTCATTCAGACATCTTTTCAATGAATTCCATTGATATTTATTATTACTAGGTATAGAAACTCAAATTTTTAATTTACCTGGCCTGTTTCAACGAAAAGTATGATCATATTCTTAACTTACAGTTATTTTTCTGAAGTGCCATCAGTTTTGTAGCCATTGCAGATGACCTGTACCCAACAGAACAGTAACACACTATTCTAGTCACATCTGAAATGTAAAACATTTTCCTCAAGTGTCATCAGTTTTGTAGCCATGGCAGATGACCTGTACCCAATAGAACAGTAACACACTATTCTAGTCACATCTGTAATGTAAAACATTTTCCTAAAGTGTCATCAGTTTTGTAGCAATTGCAGATGACCTGTACCCAACAGAACAGTAACACACTATTCTAGTCACATCTGAAATGTAAAACATTTTCCTGGAGTGTCATCAGTTTTGTAGCAATTGCAGATGACCTGAACCCAACAGAACAGTAACACACTATTCTAGTCACATCTGAAATGTAAAACATTTTCCTGAAGTGTCATCAGTTTTGTAGCAATTGCAGATGACCTGAACCCAACAGAACAGTAACACACTATTCTAGTCACATCTGAAATGTAAAACATTTTCCCGAAGTGTCATCAGTTTTGTAGCCATGGCAGATGACCTGTACCCAACAGAACAGTAGCACACTATTCTAGTCACATCTGAAATGTAAAACATTTTCCTAAAGTGTCATCAGTTGTGTAGCCATTGCAGATGACCTGTACCCAACAGAACAGTAAAACACTATTCTAGTCACATCTGAAATGTAAAACATTCTCCTCAAGTGTCATTAGTTTTGTAGCCATTGCAGATGACCTGTACCCAACAGAACAGTAGCACACTATTCTAGTCACATCTGAAATGTAAAACATTCTCCTCAAGTGTCATTAGTTTTGTAGCCATTGCAGATGACCTGTAACCAACAGAACAGTAACACACTATTCTAGTCACATCTGAAATGTAAAACATTTTCCTGAAGTGCCATCAGTTTTGTAGCCATGGCAGATGACCTGTACCCAATAGAACAGTAACACACTATTCTAGTCACATCTGAAATGTAAAACATTTTCCTGAAGTGCCATCAGTTTTGTAGCCATTGCAGATGACCTGTACCCAATAGAACAGTAACACACTATTCTAGTCACATCTGAAATGTAAAACATTTTCCTGAAGTGTCATCAGTTTTGTAGCCATTGCAGATGACCTGTACCCAACAGAACAGTAACACACTATTCTAGTCACATCTGAAATGTAAAACATTTTCCTGAAGTGCCATCAGTTTTGTAGCCATGGCAGATGACCTGTACCCAATAGAACAGTAACACACTATTCTAGTCACATCTGGAATGTAAAACATTTTCCTAAAGTGTCATCAGTTTTGTAGCAATTGCAGATGACCTGTACCCAACAGAACAGTAGCACACTATTCTAGTCACATCTGAAATGTAAAACATTTTCCTGAAGTGTCATCAGTTTTGTAGCAATTGCAGATGACCTGAACCCAACAGAACAGTAACACACTATTCTAGTCACATCTGAAATGTAAAACATTTTCCCGAAGTGTCATCAGTTTTGTAGCCATGGCAGATGACCTGTACCCAACAGAACAGTAGCACACTATTCTAGTCACATCTGAAATGTAAAACATTTTCCTAAAGTGTCATCAGTTGTGTAGCCATTGCAGATGACCTGTACCCAACAGAACAGTAAAACACTATTCTAGACACATCTGAAATGTAAAACATTCTCCTCAAGTGTCATTAGTTTTGTAGCCATTGCAGATGACCTGTACCCAACAGAACAGTAGCACACTATTCTAGTCACATCTGAAATGTAAAACATTCTCCTCAAGTGTCATTAGTTTTGTAGCCATTGCAGATGACCTGTAACCAACAGAACAGTAAAACACTATTCTAGTCACATCTGAAATGTAAAACATTTTCCTGAAGTGCCATCAGTTTTGTAGCCATGGCAGATGACCTGTACCCAATAGAACAGTAACACACTATTCTAGTCACATCTGAAATGTAAAACATTTTCCTGAAGTGCCATCAGTTTTGTAGCCATTGCAGATGACCTGTACCCAATAGAACAGTAACACACTATTCTAGTCACATCTGAAATGTAAAACATTTTCCTGAAGTGTCATCAGTTTTGTAGCCATTGCAGATGACCTGTACCCAACAGAACAGTAACACACTATTCTAGTCACATCTGAAATGTAAAACATTTTCCTGAAGTGCCATCAGTTTTGTAGCCATGGCAGATGACCTGTACCCAATAGAACAGTAACACACTATTCTAGTCACATCTGGAATGTAAAACATTTTCCTAAAGTGTCATCAGTTTTGTAGCAATTGCAGATGACCTGTACCCAACAGAACAGTAGCACACTATTCTAGTCACATCTGGAATGTAAAACATTTTCCTGAAGTGTCATCAGTTTTGTAGCTATTGCAGATGACCTGTACCCAACAGAACAGTAAAACACTATTCTAGTCACATCTGGAATGTAAAACATTTTCCTGAAGAGTCATCAGTTTTGTAGTCATGCAGATGACCTGTACCCAACAGAACAGTAAAACACTATTCTAGTCACATCTGATATGTAAAACATTTTCCTAAAGTGTCATCAGTTTTGTAGCCATTGCAGATGACCTGTACCCAACAGAACAGTAACACACTATTCTAGTCACATCTGAAATGTAAAACATTTTCCTAAAGTGTCATCAGTTTTGTAGCCATTGCAGATGACCTGTACCCAACAGAACAGTAGCACACTATTCTAGTCACATCTGATATGTAAAACATTTTCCTAAAGTGTCATCAGTTTTGTAGCCATTGCAGATGACCTGTACCCAACAGAACAGTAACACACTATTCTAGTCACATTTGAAATGTAAAGCATTTTCCTCAAGTGTCATCAGTTTTAAAGCCATGGCAGATGACCTGTACCCAACAGAAAAGTAGCACACTATTCTAGTCACATCTGGAATGTAAAACATTTTCCTGAAGTGTCATCAGTTTTGTAGCCATTGCAGATGACCTGTACCCAACAGAACAGTAACACACTATTCTAGTCACATCTGAAATGTAAAGCATTTTCCTCAAGTGTCATCAGTTTTAAAGCCATGGCAGATGACCTGTACCCAACAGAACAGTAACACACTATTCTAGTCACATCTGGAATGTAAAACATTTTCCTAAAGTGCCATCAGTTTTGTAGCCATTGCAGATGACCTGTACCCAACAGAACAGTAACACACTATTCTAGTCACATCTGGAATATAAAATATTTAACAGAATAGAAACATATTTTAATGATTTAACATGGAAGCAATGAATTAAAAGATACATTGTGTTATGTTGTTATCCCATGCTTCATTCTGATTCATTAATCTGATCTTACTTTGGGCTGGATTAGTCAGGGCCAAAAGACATGTCAGATAAGAAACGAGGCCCCTGACTAGGTCTAATGTTGTTGGACTACATTCTGATAATCTTGACATCATGCTGTTTACCATGGAACCTTATGCCTGACGTGCTTTTAGCAAACCGCTGCAAACCTCAGGGTCGTGTCCAATTATGATCTGTAAAAATTGACAATATAGTGGGCCCCCTATAGTGTAGCCTCTTTCTTCCCCCTTAACAAAATTTGAATTGTTGAAATTGTTTTTTTTGTCACTAATTAATCATTAGATATCACCAGGTATTTACCAATTACACTCTTCCCATATTAAAATTAATTTTTTGTTTTCCCACAACTGATGACATTCCTTACCATCATTACTTGAGTTATTGAAAGCATTTTCTGCTTCGAGAAGGGACTTTATTTGTTCATCCGTAGCATCAGGTTGTAGCCGTAGAGCACCTGGCAAATGACTTATTTTGTATTCTTCTTCTGGCCGTGTATCCTGTAATAAGACATCAATGTATATTGAGGTTTAGTTAAAGAATACATGGTCTTTGTCTTCCAGGTTGCCCAATAGATGTCAGGTGTTGATACAAGTCCCTGTGATATGAACATGGGGGCTCCCCAAGTGGTACTAGTATGTGACAAGTGACAAGGTGACCTGGCCTCTAAAATGTGACCAAATGTGACTTGGGGGTATCTAAAAACGAACAAATGCAACAAATCAATGCTTGCAAGTGACAATTTTGTACAATGATCTGACAAACTCCCATACAGTGTTTCGGAATAGACACTGCGGTAGGCAGATGAAGAAATCACCAAAATTTGGAGAAGATAGTCCCCGTTTTCATCACAGGAGATACTCAATTTTCACAAAACTTATAAAATATATATTCTTTTACGTTCCCCAATCCTTATTTTGTCAAAATGTCCCGAAAATCAAGAAATATAAGAAGAAATATACGCGGTAGGATTTAGAGTGAAAAGTCTTGTTGATAATGTTTCACCGCACGTGCGTTTATTAGTTAATACGTGCAATCCAACCAATGAACATGTCTAGATTTTACAATCACGTGAAACCAGCATGAGACAAGAACCAATCACGTCACGTCAGTTGTTTATTACAAAGTTGCCATGCCATGCTTACGATAAACGATCTGCCCGCCCCAATAATCTGACTGACAAGGGTTTCGAAAAATACAAAAATAGACAATTTGTTCTGAATGTAAATAAAGGCGACCTATTCTAATAAGTATTCAACCTGTGGAACATAACAGACCACTTGTTGCATTAAATGTTTTGACTGACTAAAAAGGAATGATTGTGACCAATTTTGGATTTAAAAGTGACTAAAGCAACCTCACTGCCCCCTCTTGGGTAGTATGTATCCAACAGACTGACTAGAAGTCAGTCTGTTATGATGTACTACTTTCCTGTGGAAATTGCAGTGAAATTTTTTGCACAAAATTATCAATTAGAGGAACCATTTTTTCAATAAAATAAACATTACAAAATTTCAATTAAATAGTAAGGTACAATTAAATGCAATAAAAAGTAACACAGCATATTGTCAAGTGGAAATAAAGCTAGTTGAAGTAACAAATGTGCAAATTAATTTTACCAATCGACCATTTTGAATAGCACTTCCTATGTAAACAAATATTTCACATTACCAAACTTTAACATAGGTGCCTTATAGTCTGAATATAATTCAGACTAAATAGGATATAGTCTACCCTCTTGGGGAGCCCTTACATGGTCATTTCTTGAAACCCAATGATACAGAGCCCACGATCTGAATAATAAGCTTACATACCAAAATAAGTAAATTTGAGCACTTATGATGAATTCCTGCTTCAGAGTTGATTTCACTTCCGGGTTCCATCCACTTTTGCAGAGTTGAAGTTGACACATTTTCAACGCCTGGGAATTTCTTACGAAGCCCAAATAAAGTAAGATTCGTGGCTGAAAATGTGCTAGTTGTATTATTGTCGCCGTCTACCATTATAATTAATCTTTGAATCGATACCCAATACAGTTAAATGCGATTTGTATAAAGGCAGATGTGTGCAAAATATTTCAAGAAAATTGTTTTCGTTTTACTGCGCTTCATATTTCGCGCACAATGACGTCATTGGTTTTAATTATTTAAAAAATAGTCTAAAAATCTTTATTTGGTTCAACAAGGTCAAAATTATTCCATTAATTAGGGTATCCATGAATAAAAATTTGTTTGATTCAGTAAAATGTGATTAAATAGAAATCTCGGGCTTCCGATATCAGTCGTTGTTATAGTGAAAGGCTCGGAGACTGGTGACAACGCCGCCATTTTTCAACGAATTTTTTTTGCAAAAATTAGACCTTTGCTAAAATCAGGTAATTATGAATATATTATAGCTTATAAATTAATTTCAAGCTCATGAAATGTTCATAACACTAAACACTTTAGGTTGAATCCACTTACATTGAATGTATCATTTGAGATTTGTCAAAAGAAGAGGAACTGTGACACTCACTCAGTCACTGATTGATTGTAAAATATTGTTTGCCATGATTTTATGATTTAGGCTGTTTGGCTTTGCAATTAAAATCAGAAAGACTATATCACTTGTTTAAGGCAGCATATTCGAAACACAGTAACTAAAAGTAACACAAAAGGCCAGTTAATGTATCCCTTCCACCCCCCCCCTCCTCACAGTCAGCACTATCAATCTTCATTATACAGTTATTAGGCCTTGACTGATTCTATTATATTATATATTAGATAGATGGTGCTGACTGCTGACTGTGCCCCTCCTTAGGCGCACACTCACAGATGAATGGCAACGGGCACACATTGCCTTCTCCTAAATAAGGTCATGAAGAATGCAGTCTCATCTGCAATTTTGATGATATACAAATCTTAAAAGTCACAGAAGATGGCTGAAAACGACAATTGTGCAATGTTGTTGATAAAAAATCATTGATTTTTTTTATCGGTGAACAGTACTTATTACATTTCAAAATTTTGTTTAATTTCAGATACAATGTCTGATCATGAAGATGACGATTATGATCCTGCGGCAGAAGAAGGTGAAGATGATGAATTAGGAGAAGAAGAGGACAAGTCAGGTGAAGAAGAGGAGAATGTTGAAGAAGAAGAGGAAGAAAAGTTACCGGAAGTTCCTCTTACAGAAGAGATGATGGCGGAATGTTTATCATTACTTTGTAAGACTGGTGATGGCTTAGCGCATGCTTATGTCAGGGTTGACCTACACGAGAGAGATTTAACTGACATAAGCCTTCTAAATTCATACATTCATTTACGTTATGTGGACATTTCAAAGAATAACCTAAAGGATATCTCCCCCCTGAATTCCCTGACTCATCTTCTCACTTTAAAAGCTGATGGGCTGTTGATCAACTGCGCCAAGCTAGAAGAACTGCCATATCTTCAAGTCGCAAGTTTCAATAACTGTCGTATTACCACAACTGAAGGAGTCAGCCATCCACTTATTGAACATTTGAGTTTAAACTTTAATCAGATCACAATGGTAAAACAGCTAGATTCAGTCAAGCTCAGTAGATTACATACACTAGAAATGCGTAGTAACAAACTTGAGACCACCGATGGTATCTATCTACCAAACCTCAAGAATTTATTCGTAGGTGCGAATGTAATCAAGAAACTTGAAGGCCTTGAACGCCTGGAGCATCTAACTACATTACATTTACGTGACAATCAAATCGAATCGCTTGATGGCTTTAGCGAAATGAACCGTAACCTTCAGTATATCAATCTCCGTGGAAACAACATCTCTGATATAAAAGAATGTGAAAAATTGAAGGTACTCCCGAAACTGAGAGCTCTCGTACTCTCAGAAAACCCAGTAGCGGAAGATGAAGAATACCGTCTTGAAGTTTTGATCGCGATAAGAAAACTTGAACGTCTAGACAAGGATGAATACAATGAAGATGAGCGACAGGAGGCTGAAGAGACTTTTGAACAAAGACGTCAAGAAGCCATTGAGAAAGAACAAGAAGCAGAAGTTATCGAAGATGAATAAACAATTATGTGTTGAGTAATCAGAATCTATAACAAACTGCCTATTAAGTATATATGTGCAGATACAAAGAACATGAAAAAGGACTGTCAGCTTCTTCAAAACTTGCTGCTTGGAGCATAAATGCTACATATCCAAGTTAAGCATAAAATATAAATAAGAAAAATAACCGTCTTTGCTCTGTGGTAGAGATTGCATGTAATTTAACTCTGGTCTAGAACTTACTCTTTGGAATCGAGAATACCCTATATAAGTAAAAATTGAAAAATGACATATTTGTCTAAATAGAGCTTTACATTCTTGAGACCCACTCTGTGGACGACTCCAAAGATAAATGTTGCTATGGAGATGAGGATTGGATTGAGTAGACTTATCTCCCAATCTATTGCTATTGGAATTGGAAGTAGTATGTCTCAGAAATAAATGTAAATAATTATGTATATATTTATAGAAACAATAAAATAATAGTTTTACAATGTACAATAAATTGAGCTGGTTTCTTCAATGACGAAAGCTTCATTTTCTGCCAATAAGGCCATTCAAAGTTGATTATATAATATATTTAACATCCAGTAGTTAGATTTAATCATAGGATAATGAGAGGTGAAAAAAACAAAACAAAAAATTAATAAAAATTTGGTCAACTTGAAAATTGCTGTATAGTCAAGCTATGATTTTTTAAAGGGTGTCCATAAAGTCTCCGGAAGTGTCCATAAAGTGTCCTGAAGTCTCTTTAGTCTGTATTTGTGTAAACTTTACACAAATACAGACTTTGTATTGCACGACAATAAAATTAATCAGAGATGTTATGGACACTACTGTATGTGGCCTATGTTTCTGGTTCTGTACATTGATTAAGACTGCTTGATTCGAACATGACTGTATTCACGCCTTCTATAAACTGTAAACAAAGTCAACATTTCACCCGGCATATATTCGCTATCAATACCCCTGGTAATATGTGTAATGTATGACGTCATAATGGTGGGTCGTAGTAATGGCGGACCACGATGAATATTCGAAACATTCTGGTGAGTTTTCTTGTCGAATCGTAATATAGATCTCAGAGCAGGGGTAATATCGTTGAATACACCCCTCAGGGCTAGGCACAAAAGCTTTCGAACCCCTCACTCCCTTTGGTCGTTCAGGGTACAGAAAACGTTTGTGCCTAGCCCTTTTCGGTCTATATTTCTTAATTAAACAACTACTCTATCACACATTTATTTGACTGCTTGATTTGCACAACAAGACCTTCTCAGTTGCACATTACTTCAAAGCTCATCTAACAAACACGTCAACGTTTACTCAGTACAAAAGTTATTTATTAATATTACAATAAAACAGTATACAGAACTAGATATACCTTTGACCCCAAAAAGGCTATAGCTTAGTATGAAACAATTTCAAATAAAAAACATAAGGGTCCGAAAATGAGGTACCAGGTAATAAAAAAGTTTAACAAAAAAAATTTCATTTTGAGATGTTCACCAAGAGACAGTATTTCACTTGATTCACATTTTCTATATTTTGCGTATCTTAATTCCACTATATATTTGACCATTGTACTGATAATTGTTTGCAAAGACAGAAGTTTCACAACACCATTCTGCCATAGCTATCCTTACATGTATTTTTCCATAACAAATTGAGCATATCCAATGTGAGGGGCTGTATACTGATGTTATCATGACATGAGGGTCATAACTAAACACTAAATGATGGAGAGTAAGAGGGGAAGATATCCTTATTAAGCAGAATCAAGGATAAAACGTGGATGCAATTCCAGAAATGTACCAGGTCGTTCAATAAGTTCGTGGAAAAATGCTCTCATTTCAAAGATTTTGATTTTTCTCACGAAATTTTCACACAATGTGTAACATATATTTTCTCTTTGATTCTTAAAATATCAGCGTCTCTTATTTGATTGGCGAAAAATAATGCTACGATCGTAACTTGACTTTTGGTTAGTTGAACTTGCTGTTTTGAGAACAATGATGGCTTTTATCAAAACACAACTGCTATGATAACAATGCTAGCCTGAAGTACATTTTCAATAGCATTCTAAATAATAAATTCATAATTCTATTGTTGTTTACTACAACGGACTCTCTAATTGGCTAAGAATATTACAGAACTTTATCCAAGGTTTATATTTAAATTCGTAATCTGGGGGTCATTAACTGAAACTTCGTAAAGTTACTAATTCATTAATCAACCATCAGATGATGGATATAATGATGCCATAATTAGAAAACAATGGATTTCCTAAATTACAAAATTTCTGTTAATGACCTCCTGGTACAGAATTGGGCGAGCACTTACTTGAAGTTAGTGCTTAATTAAGTTAATTTACGTTATCATAGTTTCCAAACAAATGTATGACCCAGTCATTAAGTAGCTTATTTAATTTTATTTTTAGCCAATTTTTATGTAAAACTTATTCATAACTAGAAAACGGCAACTCCTGAAGCATGAATGAGAAAAACAATACAATAATTGTGATCTACTCTAAATTTCCTTCCTTCCTAGCCATACTTTGAATAGATCAGGGAATTATTGCGTAGTACCAATTTACATCTTTCCACCAAATATGAAGAAAATCTGTCCTCTAGTATTTGAGTTATCTTCTGGATGGACGTGCAGACAGACTGACGGACGGAGGACTTCACTATATCCCTACCGAATTTCGTTCGTTGGGATAGTGAGATACTGTATAAAACTGTACATATTTACACCTTGGTGCAGTCTAATCTACAGATCTAATCTACAAAGTCTATATATCATCTGCATGGTGGTGAGCGGCCAGAGGGGTCATTCATCAAGCTATCGCAAGCACATCGCAAGCCTGCGATGTCGCAAGGGCCCTTTTAAGCGATTACGTCCTATTCATCAATATCGTGCGACTGCGATCGGTAGAATTTTCTGCGGCGTCGCAGTGAAATACCCCTAAAATGGCCCAAATTTAAGCGACCGGTGGTACCCAGTCGCAGTGATTTAAGTTCAAGAAAAATGTCTTAAATTAATTGAATTTCTTTATGAAATTATACGGAAATTCTAGGACGTACAGTTCGATATTCGATCCATGATATATTAAAATTGCACAACATATGCATTATGTTTAACATGTTTGTGATGCTATCAAAAACAGCTAGTTTTTGGCTTGTATTTTTAAGTATTTCACCGTGCGACCGGTCGCAGTGATTGTGCGTTACACGTGGTTTGAACCCACGTGACTGTACCCACTCAGTATCCATCAATATCACATTGTCAATCTTGCATGACGTGTTTAATACTCTATTAGCAGCGTTTATTCGTTCAAAATGACGCAACTGATGGTTGATTTCCACCGCAACACTTTACCTAGAGAATGCGTATTTAGAGATCGTACAGATCCTCTTCAAATATACGATGATGTGGACCTTATTTTGCGATATCGCATGCCTAGGTTAACCATTATAAAACTTTACGAAATGATACAAGAGGATCTCGAAAGGATAACAAACACGTGTACAAGCACGTACACGTGGTAATCAATGCGACTGGTCGCAGGGACATCGCAGACTGCGATTTGTTAATGAATAGGTCGCAGTCGCAGTCACTGCGACGTCGCACGGTGGTCGCAGTGTCTGCGACGTCGCAGTGATTGCGATAGCTTGATGAATGACCCCTCAGGTGGATTAGCATCCATCATCAACTTTATATTAACGGAACCAAGTCAGGTTAAAATAAGGACAATTGTAAATCTCAATCCAACTCGAATATTAAAGAAACATTGTCACTCCAATTAAAGTCTGTGACTAAGTTCAGACGTACATATGAATGTTGACTTGTCTAAACTATTTTTTTAGACTTGTCTAAAGTAGAAGTTAATCTTTGTAGGCTTCAGTCCAACTTTAATTAAGCTCGTACAGCTTGCAGGTCACTGATTTCCAGAGTTCAGTAAAGTTCAAATGTATCAGCTGATTTAGAATGCATTCTAGGGTTAAAATAACCTTTGATAAAGGTCAAAGTTTAATGCTCCATTGTTGAAAACAGCCCAGGTTAAAGCCACCTGTACGTACTAATATCTATAGGCACCAATGCTGACCAGAGTTAATCTTTAAAGCCACCTGTAGTGACTAGATTATTGACTAGGATTTTACCAGCTTCACTTGATAACTTTCACCCTGGAAATAAAAAAAAATTAAATATAAAACATCTTGAAAAAATATGTCAATTTTTCTTACATGTTGATTTTTACATGTTAAAGCTTATAAAGGACCAGTTGCTTTTGTTGACCCACATTGTAGAATTAGCGGGGTCAGATGTCCTTTTTTTGTTCGGCTTTTTCAGGAAAGCAACAAACTTGGCACAGTTGTAGAATCATATGATATGAGTAAAAAATGATTTCAGGGCAAGTGATTTGGGGTGGTCTTCATGGATTTTTTAGCCTCTGACCCCCCAGCCCTACCAGACTGGGAGGGGTATATTATTAAAATTAAATAAAAATGGTTTTAAAGTATTTTTCTTTAAATGACTTCATTTGGTGATTGCTTTGAGCCTTGAAATTGTGTAAAACCCAATTAAGAAGTTGTCTGTAGCAAGAAAAAACTCATTTTAACCCAATTATCTAAGAATAATTCGTTGTTTAAAGGGCCAAATACGGAACATCCAGCACTGTATTTCAAGAATGTGATGTCTGATAGTCCTGAAAAAATTCATAGTAGTAGAGGTTTAAGTGTTTATCACAGATAGAAAATATACCACGGGTCGGCTCATGTATTTTTTGAGAAAAAAATTCTCGAAATTTCAATTTTTTAGTGCATGCAGCTCAGGGGTAACCTTATTTTACCTTAATAATTTTTAAAATATGCAATGTATGGATCTCATATGAGGTCAAAATGATGCATAGAGCATTGTTTTGTCATATTATTCCTAATAAGATGTAAAAAAATTATTGGAAATTTTTCAAAAATCCAAATTTTCATTTTCGCTTCTAAAAGGCCAGGGGTAACCATATTTTACCTTAATAATTTTCAAGATATGTAATATATGCATCTCAAATTAGCTCAAAATGGTGCATATAGCTTTGTTTTATCAGATTACCCTTGATTAGATGTAGAAAAATGATTTTACATTTCTTAAAAATCTAAATTTTCATTTTAGCTTATTGTTGCCTATGGGTAGCCATATTTTACCTTAATAATTTTCAAAGTACAAGACATATGCATCTCAAATGAGCTTTAAAGGGTTTTTTAATCTTCTTCTGTCATATATTATTTCTAGGGAATGTAAAAAATGTTTGGAAACTTGAAAAAATGATATTTGCATATTAGGCCATAAGAATTAGATTCTCTGGTTTGCGTCCTGGCAAAATCCAAATCATGCAAGGGTTCAAGGAAACAAACACAAACTCAAAAAAACACAAACTTGTTTGCTGAGAAATGTATACATTTTATGGGCATTAAAAGGAATGACATACCAATTTGCAGTGATACAAACACAGATCTATACGTTTATACAATATATTTAAATATAGGTATTATTCAAGGGTAAAATAAAAAATGTATGCCTAAGTAATCAATAACACTGTCAATTTTGACGCACATCAATTTATCCGCCATTTCGTCTGATTCTGATTGAATGAAATGAGATGTTACTTTCAGACCCTTGTGGTTGCTATTTGGATGTGTTTGTTTTTTCTGATTTAGTCAAAATCATGCAAGCAAGGGGAAGCAAAACAAAGAATCTAATTCTTACGACCTTAGCTTTTGATGCCATTTTACCGTAATAATTTAAATAAAGATATATCACACTTGTTACTCAAACGAGCTCAAAATGTTGATTATAGTCAAGTTTTGCCATTTATTCCTTCTGAAATAAGAAAAAATTATAAAAATCTCAACATCCATTTATTTATTTATATAAAGAATCACAACATCCATTTACCGGTATTCCTTTTTAGTACCACTAGCTCAATACTGTACTATAGTTTTATCGAGCACTTTTCTAAGATTTGAAAATGTTAGTAGCATTGTTAAGATTCTATGTATAATCATTTGAAAATATAATCCAAATCCATAAAACATAATCAAACAGGTCAGGATTTATAGATTCAGACAGTCTCCCCTGCGGCTACATAGCCCAGAGCAAATGAGATATGATTTCAAACATTTGCATATGTTCCCTCAACACTCCTTAAACATCAAACAAGTTTTTTGCATGCCTCGGATGCAACATCTTTTGTTATTATACAGATATCCGCCTCATAGGACCTACATTTTCATATGTTGTGGCCTCAGTATCAGCAGTGGGAGTAGTCCAACCATATTCATGTGGTGATAGAAACTGTGGGTTAGAATGCATCAGAATAACAAATGACTCTACAACTGCAATGTTTCTAAAAAAAGATTCAAAGTTTAAAAACAACTGCAATGGCTCTGGGTATACACCTTCCATTCCTTCAAATCAGATGATTTAGAGAAGTAGTAGAATGCAAAGGTGACATATCAAATCCATTGATTGCATGAAAAATTGGGAGGGCTAAACTTTGGTCATGGCCAAGTGGTCTTGTAATATTGTGGGCATGTAGATATTGGAAGGATTTCCCCTTACCATATGCAATCCAAATTGACATTTTCAGTTTTACTACATCAAAATCAATTGTTAGGCAATGATTGAAGCAGTCTCTCGTTTGGAGAAATATCCTTGATGGCGCCTAAGACATTGCATTACTTGGTCACTATCATCTTGCCAAGTTCTTGAGGGTTTCAGTGTTGATGCCTGGAAGGAGGACAGCTCCCTCTTGTTCCCACTACATCTTGGATTGCATTGGTAAAAGAAAATCCATTCAATAACTATCTGTGCATGATATTGCAAGATCAATTGGCCATGACCAAAGTTTAGTCCTCCCCATTTTTCATTCAATCATTCTATGCGATGTCACATCTGCATTTAACTACTACTCTAAATCATCTGATTTGAAGGAATGGAAGGTGTACCCTGAGGTGATGCAAGTGTTCTTAAACCTAATATCTTTATATCATACTTCATTGATTTATCATTTTATATCTCAGTATGAATATATGAACATATGAATATGACAAAATGAATTTTGAGCTTATTTAAATTGCAAATGTGACATATCTTGAAAATTATTATGGTAAAATGAGGCCACCTATAACCAGTCAAAAGCTAAATCAAAATCTGATCATTTTTTCCATCTCCTTAGAAATGATATGACAAAACAAGATTATATACACCATTTCAAGCTCATTTGAGATGCATATATGTAACATACATTGAAAATTATTATCCTAAGTATGGTTACCCCTGGGCTGTCAAAAGCTCAAATATAAAATTTAGATTTTTAGATATTAGATATTTAGAAATGTCAAATTATGTTTTTATATTATTATTAGAAATATGATAACAAGACTTCTGGTATATGAACCACTTTGAGCTCATTTTAGATGCATATGTAATAATATGTAATTATTATGTTAAAAATATGGTCAAATAGAAAATTCAGATTTTTAAGAAATGTCCAATAGTTTTTCTGCATCTTATTTGGGGTATGATAAAACAAGACTATATGCACCATTTTGAGCTCATTTGAGATGCATATATTAAGTATCTTGAAAATTATTATGCTAAAATATGGTTACCCCTGGACCATCTGAAGCTTAAATGAACATTTAGAGTTTTAAGAATTATCAATCATTTTTCTACATCTTATTAGGGTTAATATGATTAAAAAAGACTAGATGCACCATATTGAGCTCATTTGAGATGGATATATTACATATTTCAAAAATTATTAAGGTACAATATGGTTACCCCTGGCCCTTCAGAAGCGAAAATGAAAATTAGATTAAAAAAAAAATTCCAATCTTTTTTTACTTCTAATTAGCAATATTATGACAAAACAAGACTAGATGCACCATTTTGAGCTCATTTGAGATGGATATATTACATATTTTGAAAATTATTAAGGTACAATATGGTTACCCCTGGCCATTCAGAATCGAAAAATGAAAATTTGAATTTTTTTTGATTCCAATCTTTTTTGTACATCTAATTAGCAATAATATGACAAAACAAGACTAGAAGCACCATTCTGAGCTCATATGAGATGCATACATTGACTATCTTAAAAATTATTGAGGTAAGATAAGGTTACCCCTGAGCCAAATGCACCAAAAAATTGAAATTTCGATATTTTTTTTCTCTGAGAATACATCAGCTACCAAAGCAATATTTTCTATCTGCAATAAACACTTATACTTCTATTACTGTGAATTTTTTTAAGGCTATTAGTCATCACATTCTTGAAATACAGTAATCGACGTCCCATATTTGGCCCTTTAAATAATGAATTTTTCCTGGATAATTAGGTTTAAATGTATTTTCCTCACTAAATACCACTTCTAAAATGAGTTTTACATCATTTCAAGGCTCAAAGCAATCACCAAATGAAGTCATTTAAACAAAAATACTTTAAAACCATTTTTATTTATTTTTTTATAATTTACCCCTCCCCACCTGATAGGGGTGGGGGTCAGAGGTAAAAAAATCCATGAAGACCACCCCCAACCACTTGCCCTGAAATCATTTTCCACTCAAATCATATGTTTCTACAAATGTGCCAAGTTTGTTGCTTTCCTGAAAAAGCCGAACAAAAAAGGGGTTATATCTGGACATCTGATCCCGCTAAATGACAATATCTCAAAACTAATATTTGTATCTTTAAATTAAACTTTTTCTTGTAGTCTGAAACTAATGTCTAGAAGAATGTGCCATTTAACCTTTGTATAACCATGTTACCATGGAAATGCATGCTGGGATCATATCCCAAGAACATGGTTTGTGATTTGCATTGCATTATGGGAAATACATGCAGTTTTCTCCTTCCACTCTATCCCAGGTTACTTTGCTATATCTATGATGTAAAACATCACGTCTGCAGAATGAATTGCATTATGGGTAGAAAGGAATGATGGGAAATACATACCGTTCCATACTCTTTCCATTCAATCCCAAGTTCCTCTGCTAGATCTATGATGTATGCAATCTCAACAGGGGTCATTCCTAGAGACCCAATATCTAGACTGTCCAGATCTTGGTTGTGTTTGAAGGCTCTACAACATTAATATCGGATAAATGTAACAAGTATTAACTCCTTTAATTGAACACCCTCAAGATGTATACTTTTGGAACACAAATATCTTTCCTTTGATCAATTTTTTTTATTCATACTGGTCCCAAACTGGTGCCGAACGCTGTTACAGACATTGAACACTGTTACAGACGCCAAACACCAGCCACAAAAAAAGTTAGAGACTATCACAATATGTCACCACCTCTGGTGGTGAAATAATCAAAAGGAAATTTGATCTATAAACTTTAACTCTAAGAACTAGTGTTATATGTATATTCACTCATTTTACTTACTGTATTCGTGTCTTAATGTTGGCTTTATATTCAGGGTCGAGCTGATCGACACTGTCTGGGGGAAGATTTGTCCTCTGGGTCACAGACCTTCCCGTCTCATTTTCCTCATTCTTACCCGCTCCTGAGATCATTCGTTTGTACATTGCTGCCTCCTCATTCCGAAGCTGTTTTTCTACACTGGATATGAATAGACAAGAGAAATTTAATATCAACTAGACATCAGCAACGCCAAAGCGTAGCAAGTCCCATCAAACAGCCATGGCTGGCATATTTACAAACGAAGTGTATAGCTCACTATATAGCTAAATTGTCATCAGAAATTGTAATATGCTTTTAAGTAGGCACATATAAAATTTGAAATTTCCATAACTACAAACAACATCAAATTATTTGACTTCTCCCAGCATTGGATTACCTTGGAATGAGCCTTGGAATGGCATTTCAATCCCATAATGCAAAAAGTATCCCATAATGCAATAAATCATTTAGCAGACTACAAAGCTTCCTAGTTCTGCAAATGCCTTGAAAACACATTCAAATCCGAAGAAAGCAAAATAGGTATCCCATTATGCAATAGTTTTTTAGCAGACGACATACCTTTCCAGTTCTGCGAGTGCCTTGGAAACACATTTAAACTGAGGTTTTAATTTCCTGGCAACCATCAGCTTCTTCCTACTTGCTGTGAAATCACCAAGTCTTAAATAAGCCTGCAAGAACAAGATACACAGAGATAAATATCGCACTTCTTTATCAAAAAATTCAAAATGGCCACCAAGTAATTAACCAAGCCTGGCCAAAATCTAATCAGATCTTGGCTCTTGTAATGCACGGAATTTGGCGACAAGATTTAGGTGACACCTGTCTGCCCAGATGCATGAACGCACAAACATCAACCCAAGATGACAACAACCTAACACGTGTGATTAAAAGCTAAAGGCATTTTTAATCTATATTTCATAGCACAATTTACTTATGCACTTTGGAATATATGCATCTGGTCCCAAAAGTAAATATGTTTCTGTTGATGCACTATTGAAGACATTTGGAAACAAAATACAATCTTGTCTCTATTGAAAGCCTTGATTAGAGGAGTGAAATATTTCGAGTTTATTTGCTGCAGTATAGTACTGCTAAGAAGTGTCAATCTAGGGAGGAATTGTGGGTAATACTCACCACTCCTAATAGATAATATGCTTTGACGGAATCTTTATCAATCTCTAGAGCTTTACCAGGTTTGGGTGAAATATTTCGAGTTTATTTGCTGCAGTATAGTACTGCTAAGAAGTGTCAATCTAGGGAGGAATTGTGGGTAATACTCACCACTCCTAATAGATAATATGCTTTGACGGAATCTTTATCAATCTCTAGAGCTTTACCAGGTTTGGGTGAAATATTTCGAGTTTATTTGCTGCAGTATAGTACTGCTAAGAAGTGTCAATCTAGGGAGGAATTGTGGGTAATACTCACCACTCCTAATAGATAATATGCTTTGACGGAATCTTTATCAATCTCTAGAGCTTTACCAGGTTTGGGTGAAATATTTCGAGTTTATTTGCTGCAGTATAGTACTGCTAAGAAGTGTCAATCTAGGGAGGAATTGTGGGTAATACTCACCACTCCTAATAGATAATATGCTTTGACGGAATCTTTATCAATCTCTAGAGCTTTATTACACAATGTTATCACTGGCTTTGGGCTGGAGAGTTTATCCTTACAGGTGGCACAATTCAAGTAGAGTGTCTGAAACAAATATTACCCATAATGCAATATGTTTAGTAGCAGACGACACCTGGCTCTTCAATATTATATCACATTGTAATTGGCTCCCAGAATGCCATATAGCGATATTCTTTCCTTTTGTTCCGAATTCATACTAACTATAAGCCCAGGGTATCAAACAAACCCTTGAATAAGGCCAATCTTGAAGAATGGTCGTGCTTACGAAATTCAAAATTGACAGTTGTCATTCGAAGGCCCTTAAAGGTACATACCTTTAACATTTCTTGCTGTTTTCTTTCTTCATCATCATTTCTTAAACAACACTCTTCCAGTATTCGAATAGCCTAAAATGTATGATTCTAAAATGTGTGAATCTGGCTCAAATGGGTGACAAAGCCTAAAGTATGCATTGTTTTTAGATCATAGTAATACAAGCAGAGGATGCATGGATACTAATAGCGACAGTGTCCCTTTGAGATGTTCTTGCTTCTTATACAAGTAAGTACAGTAGAAACTGCCCAGGTGAACACCTCACAAGTAGAAAGGGTTTCTAAAAGTCCTGCAGCCCATTGACTGCAGGTAATTGAACCTCTGTAAGTGGAACACCTCCCAAGTGGAACACTTTTTGGGGTCCCTAGGGCATTTCACTTGCAAGGGTTACTGTTATATTGGTTTTACACATAATTGCAAGTTGTAGATAATTACAAGTAATAAAGAATTTCACAAGCAATTTCATCTTGCACATTTGACAAATGATTTAAGTTTAATTTGTATTTATTGACATTCTTACGTAAAATACTGTGTTAAGCCTAATAAACAGTTACACTATAGAGAATTACACCAACATTTAGGGGAGGGGGCATATCTGCCGTTTAAGGGATAATGGTTCAATTTAGGTTTAACATTTTCAAATTACAAACATACCTTCTCATATTTTCTGGATGCTTGTCTGTAGTGACCATTGTGATAATGTGTCTTAGCTTCCTGAATAAAAAGAAGTAGATTTACTAATTAATAACAAACAAGACACAAAGTGATCACACTTTTTAACTAAGAAATCACAAGAACACAAATGTGTACAAAATGTCCCCACCAATGGGTGATCCCGTCAAATGGTTATCCTGAAAATGAGTAGACAAGACTTTACCAACACTATTTGAGGACGAAAAATCCAAAATGGCCACCTTAAAATTTATCCAGAATGGCAAAAATTTAGTCAGTTCTAGATTTTCATACTAAGAACCACCCCTGAAAATTTGAAATTGATCCGTCACACAGTTAACCAGAAAACATGTAAACAAGACTTTACAGACAAGATTTCAGGATGGAAAATACAAAATGGCTGCCTTGACATTTATCCAGAATGCCAAAAAACTAATCAGATCTAGATTTTCATTCTAAGAATCATCCCTGAAAATTTGAAATTGATCTACAGAACGGTTCACCTGGAAATGCGTAGACAAGACTTTACAGACAAGATTTCAGGACGGAAAATCCAAAATGGCTGCCTTGACATTTACCCAGAATGCCAAAAAACTTATCAGATCTAGACTGTCATACTAAGAATCATCCCTGAAAATTTGAAATTGATCCACCAAACGGTTCACCTGAAAACGCGCAGACAAGACTTCACAGACAAGATTTTAGGACCAAAAAATCCAAAATGGCCGACAATAAAAAAGTCTTAGTTTTTGCTGATTTCTTTTTACAAAATTATCACATATAAGTACTGTTAACAATAACATAGGCTTTTACAACAAAGTACATCTGAAATTATTTATAAAGCTACTAAATAGTTTAAGTATGAAAACTCAAAAACACCATTCAATATGATACAAAGTATTATCGCGCGCTAACTTTTCTTAAGACATTCAAAATGGCTGACATGACTGAGCTTACAGGTCCAAAACCTAATCACATCTAGAATGAAGTGAGCTGAACAAGATCTTAAAGTTTTAAAAGCAACTGTGAAGCCGTTTTTCTTAAAGTTTGCAGATTTTAGCTCTACACCCCAATCCACACTCTGAGATCACGGTACCATTAAGAGTATGGTACTGTATGGTACTGTTTGAGTATGGCATCAATTACACCGTTCACGGTACCATTTTTGTCTATGGTACCATATTTCATGGTACTGTACAGTGCCATAGTCAAAACAGTACCATACATTACTGTTGCAAATTGGCTGCAGTACGTCTGCTCTTTACTCTGTAAACATTTAATGAGCCTGGCCATAGGAAAACCAGTCTTGTCACAAAAATTTAAATTTTGCTACAGAGCCAAAAATGTGCCCAAGATTAAAAGGAAAATGTGCTAAATTAAAATCAGTCTTTATGGTCTATATCTGCAAGGAAAAATTGTTAAGACACAAACCATGGCTCATTTGAAAGGTCTCTTTGTGCTTTTTAAGAAAAACAAAAAATCAAAACATTGAAAAATCTGTAATAAGACCCCTTTTCCTGTGGCCTGGCTCAAATGTTGAACATATCCTTTTCCTTGAATTTTGATGACAAGATGTGATGCCTGCCCACCAACATGGAAACATAACATAATTTTTTATAGTTTTTTTCATCAAATTACATTCATTAAGATATGGGATTAAGTGTGAAAGATGATTATCTGTGAACATGGTTATCCCTAAATATAGTTATCCCCAAGATGGCTATCCCCTAAAAACAGTTATCCACTAAACATTGTTACTATGCAGGGTGACTATACTTACATCTTTAGCACTGTGAGCAGCCATGTAGATCTTTTCAAATGGAAGGAATTTCCTCTCAGACTGAAAAAGTGTGAAATAATCTGTTATTCAATAATGTCCCCTCAGAAATTTGCTTTTTTCAAAATTTCGCAAATAAGATTGTGGATTTTGTGATTTAAAAACTATGGATTTTACGAGGATTTTGCATCAAACTATTGCAAATTGAAAAAAATAAAAATCGAAATTGAATCTATGGATCCACAAAATACCCCACTCAGTAACAAGACATCGTTTGTTTACAATATTTTTGATTTATTTTTACAGATATGCTTACTCATACTGAGAGGAATAACGCTAAATTTTATTAACACTGATAAAATCTGAGTAAAAGTAAAATGGTAACGAGCCAGTGAAAAAGGTCCAGATTTGTCATTGTTCCCACCAAATTCAAATTCAAATCTCTCACCATTGGAGTGCTCTCGTAGTCGTCAACACCTGCCCTTGCAAATGCTTCAATCAGCTCAATCTCAAACATAACTAAAATAAAGAATCAGTTCAATAAAACAATCAGTTCAATGTGAACAATCTCAATGATTGGTTTAATGTAAAATTGTAAAAATATAAAGTCGAAATAAATAAATATTATATAACCCACAATGTTTCCTTCAAAATATTAGAGCATAATTATCATTACTTATGGGACACCTTGTATATGCCCAAAAACTAAATTTTCAGACAAGTGGATCATTACAATAGCTAATAATAACAACATATTAGTGAACGAGCTAACGTATTAAAGTACAATTAATCAAACATGAGCAAAAAACTAAATTTTCATATCAACAAAAATCTCTAAAAATCAATGAATACCTGATTTTCAATTTCAGTTTAGCTGTTATCACTATGTTATGAAAACTCTATGGCTCTCATTTACTTTCTTTAACATCAAATGTAATCAGAAATATATCAAAAAAGTTCAAAGCCCTGTTGGAAAGGGGTAAAATCTCACATGAAGGTAATTCAATTTTCAATTTCGCCAACACCGCATTTGTCATAATAGTCACATGGGCACTCTTTAGGGATGTGCATTCTTTAGAAGGAATACAGTGCCCTTTTAGGAATAGCCAGAATGCGACCTTTGCCATTACAGGATAAAACTGGTGATAAAATGGTTCGATAACGTAACATATTATACCATGAAAGAATCGAATATTTAGCCAGTAGGTACAGAGAATTTATCTTGTGATAAATAAATAAAAAAAAATAAGTATGTGCAAAAATATAAGAACCAAATCTATTGACCGATATTTGAGATATCACCCACCCAAACTCCACACAGAAAGACGTCTTCTCCATATTCCTCACAAACTATGTTCAGTGGGATACAAAAACAAATCTTAAGGTATAACAAAAATGATGGTCTACCTGTAGAATCTTCTGGTATTCTAGGGGGACAGCCTTGTGGACCCCATCCATAGTCAGATCTGATTATGAAGCGTGACAGTTCACCTTTCTTCATTGTTTTGATTCCTATGGTCCAGCCAAGTATACAGTCTAGAATGGAACAATAAAAATATTACAGTCAGGCCCTATCCAGGGGGGGTTCGGGGGAGGATTCTTTCAAAATCATGCAGTTTTTCATCATTCTGAACACTTTTTAAGTGATTTTCGCCATTTTTGGACCCAAATTGTCAAAAGTGAACCCCCCTGGAATATTTCAAAAAGTGAACACCCTTGGCAAATCCTGGCTACGGGCCTGACAGTCTCATCCGGACACCTCTGGGACCAGCCAAAAATGTTCCGATTAGCTGGTGTTCACATTTGCAAGTGTTCACATTAGCAGGTGTTCACATTTCAAGCCAAGTTTGGGACTGAGAAAAAGTGTTAACATTAACAGGTGTGTGGAATAGAAAGGTGTCCAGATATACAGGTTTCATTGTATTAAAACAATCCAAAGGGATATATCGAAGGGGGCAGGCCTCAAGCAGATGTAGGAAATAAATTCCAAAACTGTAAAATCAGAAAGATTGTTAAGTTGGGATTGGTCAGGAGGTAAGATCTAAATTCATTTTCTTAAAAACAAAAGTCCATAAAGTCTCTTTACACTTTACAGACTTTGTATTACAATTACTGTATAACAATTATTGGAGTACAATTACTGTATAACAATTACACAGGAATATACATTGTACATCAATCAATATTTAATAGGCTTATAGCGACCAATAACCATTTCTTTTATCAGATTGGGTTCTTGAATTATTCCACAACATACTGACCTCCAAGTTTTATTCTGTCTGGCTTGTTCCGTAGTCGGCTGGAATCAAATGGCTCATCCTTATATTCAAGGTAACCGTTGAAGTGCACTGAAATATAATTTATGCATTGAATCAAATGGCTCATCCTTATATTCAAGGTAACCATTGAAGTGCACTGAAATATAATTTATGCATTGAATCAAATGGCTCATCCTTATATTCAAGGTAACCATTGAAGTGCACTGAAATATAATTTATGCATTGAATCAAATGGCTCATCCTTATATTCAAGGTAACAATTGAAGTGCACTGAAATATAATTTATGCATTGAATCAAATGGCTCATCCTTATATTCAAGGTAACCATTGAAGTGCACTGAAATATAATTTATGCATTGAATCAAATGGCTCGTCCTTATATTCAAGGTAACCATTGAAGTGCACTGAAATATAATTTATGCATTGAATCAAATGGCTCATCCTTATATTCAAGGTACTCATTGAAGTGCACTGAAATATAATTTATGCATTGAATCAAATGGTTCATCCTTATATTCAAGGTACCCATTGAAGTGCACTGAAATATAATTTATGCATTGAATCAAATGGCTCATCCTTATATTCAAGGTAACCATTGAAGTGCACTGAAATATAATTTATGCATTGAATCAAATGGCTCATCCTTATATTCAAGGTAACCGTTGAAGTGTACTGAAATATAATTTATGCATTGAATCAAATGGCTCATCCTTATATTCAAGGTAACCATTGAAGTGCACTGAAATATAATTTATGCATTGAATCAAATGGCTCATCCTTATATTCAAGGTAACCATTGAAGTGCACTGAAATATAATTTATGCATTGAATCAAATGGCTCGTCCTTATATTCAAGGTAACCGTTGAAGTGCACTGAAATATAATTTATGCATTGAATCAAATGGCTCATCCTTATATTCAAGGTACTCATTGAAGTGCACTGAAATATAATTTATGCATTGAATCAAATGGTTCATCCTTATATTCAAGGTACCCATTGAAGTGCACTGAAATATAATTTATGCATTGAATCAAATGGCTCATCCTTATATTCAAGGTAACCATTGAAGTGCACTGAAATATAATTTATGCATTGAATCAAATGGCTCATCCTTATATTCAAGGTAACCGTTGAAGTGCACTGAAATATAATTTATGCATTGAATCAAATGGCTCATCCTTATATTCAAGGTACCTATTGAAGTGCACTGAAATATAATTTATGCATTGAATCAAATGGCTCATCCTTATATTCAAGGTAACCGTTGAAGTGCACTGAAATATAATTTATGCATTGAATCAAATGGCTCATCCTTATATTCAAGGTAACCATTGAAGTGCACTGAAATATAATTTATGCATTGAATCAAATGGCTCATCCTTATATTCAAGGTAACCATTGAAGTGCACTGAAATATAATTTATGCATTGAATCAAATGGCTCATCCTTATATTCAAGGTAACCATTGAAGTGCACTGAAATATAATTTATGCATTGAATCAAATGGCTCATCCTTATATTCAAGGTAACCATTGAAGTGCACTGAAATATAATTTATGCATTGAATCAAATGGCTCATCCTTATATTCAAGGTAACCATTGAAGTGCACTGAAATATAATTTATGCATTGAATCAAATGGCTCGTCCTTATATTCAAGGTAACCATTGAAGTGCACTGAAATATAATTTATGCATTGAATCAAATGGCTCGTCCTTATATTCAAGGTAACCATTGAAGTGCACTGAAATATAATTTATGCATTGAATCAAATGGCTCATCCTTATATTCAAGGTAACCGTTGAAGTGCACTGAAATATATTTATGCATTGAATCAAATGGCTCGTCCTTATATTCAAGGTAACCATTGAAGTGCACTGAAATATAATTTATGCATTGAATCAAATGGCTCGTCCTTATATTCAAGGTAACCATTGAAGTGCACTGAAATATAATTTATGCATTGAATCAAATGGCTCATCCTTATATTCAAGGTAACCGTTGAAGTGCACTGAAATATAATTTATGCATTGAATCAAAGGTCTCGTCCTTATATTCAAGGTAACCATTGAAGTGCACTGAAATATAATTTATGCATTGAATCAAACGGCTCGTCCTTATATTCAAGGTAACCATTGAAGTGCACTGAAATATAATTTATGCATTGAATCAAACGGCTCGTCCTTATATTCAAGGTAACCGTTGAAGTGCACTGAAATATAATTTATGCATTGAATCAAACGGCTCATCCTTATATTCAAGGTAACCATTGAAGTGCACTGCAATATAATTTATGCATTGAATCAAATGGCTCATCCTTATATTCAAGGTAACCATTGAAGTGCACTGAAATATAATTTATGCATTGAATCAAATGGCTCATCCTTATATTCAAGGTAACCATTGAAGTGCACTGCAATATAATTTATGCATTGAATCAAATGGCTCATCCTTATATTCAAGGTAATCATTGAAGTGCACTGAAATATAATTTATGCATTGAATCAAATGGCTCATCCTTATATTCAAGGTAACCATTGAAGTGCACTGCAATATAATTTATGCATTGAATCAAATGGCTCATCCTTATATTCAAGGTAACCATTGAAGTGCACTGAAATATAATTTATGCATTGAATCAAATGGCTCATCCTTATATTCAAGGTAACCGTTGAAGTGCACTGAAATATAATTTATGCATTGAATCAAATGGCTCATCCTTATATTCAAGGTAACCATTGAAGTGCACTGAAATATAATTTATGCATTGAATCAAATGGCTCATCCTTATATTCAAGGTAACCATTGAAGTGCACTGAAATATAATTTATGCATTGAATCAAATGGCTCATCCTTATATTCAAGGTAACCATTGAAGTGCACTGAAATATAATTTATGCATTGAATCAAATGGCTCGTCCTTATATTCAAGGTAACCATTGAAGTGCACTGAAATATAATTTATGCACTGAAAACATGTTATGTTTAGTATAATACACTGAAAATATACAGTTTAATGCACTGAAAACATAAAATATAATGCAATATATGCAGTTTTAAGAACGCTATTCACCTAATACAGTTAAACCCTTACCTATTTAATACAGTTAAACCCTAATCACTAAATACATTTAAACCCTACTTACATCATACAGTTTAACCCTACTCAACTTAATTACAGTTAAACCCTACTCAACTTATTTACAGTTAAACCCTACTCAACTTATTTACAGTTAAACCCTTCTCAACTTATTTACAGTTAAACCCACTCACTTTATACAGATAAACCATAACTTATCTAATACAGTTAAGCCATTACCTAATACAGATGCTTCTTCAGGACAGAGGGGACCATGGCCAGGTGTCAGAACTTTCTTTAAGACTCCTCCATTTTTTTCCTCGGTAATATCTTCCATTTTTCTTCCAAGCTTTTCAAATGGGCTGAGGTCATCAGTGTCATCGCCTTCGGATAAAACATAACATAAAATGAACTTATGTTAACTGCCGGATGTACGGATGGATGGACGGACTGACAAACGGACGCACCTGGGCCGACAATATGGACCAACACTATGTGGTGGGGACATAATAAAATGAACACTTATGTAGACAAGGCATTTACATGCAAAATGACACCCCCATTTGTTACAGACACCAACCGCCATTCGCCAACTGCTGTCACAAAAAGGAGACAATAACACTTTTTGGTGATGGCATAAAAAATCATCATTGTTGTGAAAAACTAAACATTAAATGATCACTTACGTAAAAAATCATCATGAATACGAGTACAGTTTTTTAATTAATGCCTCAGCTGACTCACAATTATTATTCTCCGAAGGTGTATTATTGGTATACATATACTTCCCATAGGTTTGCATCATGGGTAGACTTATCTTACTTTATTGCATTATGGGATGTTCATACCTCATCTAACTCAACGATTACTACCCCCAGGTATGCATTATGGGTAAACTATTGCATATTGCATTATGGGATGTCAATACCTCACCTGATTCAGTATCGCTACCTCCTCCATGTGTCTCTTGAAACTTGGAATATTTGAAGACATCTTCCTGATCAAAGTATGCGTTGGTCTCTGTCTTTGTATAGCGCTCCACCTCTGAAAATATACAAAACTGATACAAGTTCCCAGGATAAAAATAAGAAATCAATTTTCTTTCTCAAGGGCTTTTTAAGCCATATTTCAAAGTACGAGTGCATTGGTCTCTGTCTTTGTATAGCGCTCCACCTCTGGAAATATACAAAACTGATACAAGTTCCCAAGATAAAAATAAGAAATCAATTTTCTTTCTCAAGGGCTATTTAAGCCATGTTTCAAAGTACGAGTGTATTGGTCTCGTGTCTTTATATAATAATGCTCCACCTCTGAAAAAAACAAGTTCCCAGGATAAAAGTAAAAAAGCTATTTTCTTTCACAAGGGCTATTTAGTGTATTGGTCTGTCTTTTAATAGCGCTCCACCTCTGAAAATACACAACAAAATTGATACAAGTTCCAAAGATAAAAATCAGAAATCAATTTTTTCTCAAGGGCTACTAAAGCCTATCAAAGTATGAATTGGTTTTTGGCTTTTTATTTTGTGCTCCACCTTAAGAAATATACACTAAAACTGATGCAAGACCCAAAGATGAAATCAGAAATTTTCAACCACTAGGATATTTCAAAGTACATGTATATATGCTTTGGCCTTTGGCTTTATACAGGCACTCCATCTCTAAAACACAAAACACAAATTCCCCAGATAAAAATCAGACATTTTTAGCCATATTTCTAATGCATTGAGCATTTTCACAATTACTTTTTGTAAGCCATATTTCTGGTCAAAAATATTTCATGCTTTTGAATAGATAGCTCTTATATCAAAGGGTTTAATAATTTTTGCTGCTTGTCTTGTGATAACAATGAGCAACTGTCACCATTCCCTTGTCACCATTCCCATGTCACAATTCCTATTTCACACCAACATTAATATGGTCATGGAGATAAGATTTTATGCTTTTGAATAGATTGATACAAAAATAGCTCTTATATCAAAGGGTTTAATGATTTTACTGCTTGTCCTGTGACACCACTGAGTAATTGTCACCATTCCCATGTCACAATACCCATGTCACAATTCCCATTTCACGCCAACATTAATATGGTAGAGATTGGATTCTAATTTCAGACTAGTCAGAAATACAAAGTATTTTGACCATGAGGATTTATTTTATAGTTGTCATGTTTTGTATGTGAACGAAATATCGCATTAAAGAGCCAGGAGTGATGCCTTAAGGTCAAATCTGATTTCAACCTTTTTTTAAATCATGTACAAGTTCTCAGGAGTTAACATCTTACCTCAAATTTGAGATTTGACCTTCAATTTTGAACAAAATAATCAATCGGCCGGGTACCAGCAGATGAATAGGAGCAAATGTGACTTAAGCATCATATGCACAACACCTACAGGGGTTCATTAGCAACAGGCAACAGGCGATTTTCACCAGTTGTTTTCACATAATCGCCTGTTGTTTTAGGGACTTTGCCATGTTAAATTTATGATTTCCATTAATTCTTAATTCTTAATTTTCATTTATTTAGCCTGTTGTAAGAAATTCTAGTGAAGCCCCTGACCTATAGATATCACTGCAAGAATGTGGATAACGTGCATACTGCAATATAACATTATTTGTGATCACGAGAGTAAATGTTTCCCTATAGGTCTCTTGATTCAAAAGGGTCATTATTTGTATTAATAATTCAAGTTTCAGAATTTTCTGAACTTACATAAGTAATATAACATGAATAATGCATGCAATCACATCCAATATAGGCGGCAAAGAATCTCCATATATGGCTAATCCTATAAGGGCATTGTTAAATTTATAATGTTTTTATAATTCCTTTAACTTACAATAGCATAACCAGTGACTACAATATTTACCTTAATACCCTAGCAATACCTGTAACAAAAATGTCAAATTTATTTCTTTAAAAATGAAATAAAAACAAAATTTGAGAATTCTGAGAAAATTCATGAACAATAAGAGATACCCGGTGCTATAAACTGTATCAAACTGACATAAAATTATGCGATTTGTATAAATTTAGAGAGAAAATTTATGAAATGAGTATGATATCTGGAACCCTTTCTCTTATGGGATAATCCATTTCTTAGTACTAGAATTCCGTTATTAGAGCGGTCCAGACTTTGCATTGACGACAAGAAACTAAGAGCATCCAGCTTTCTAAATCGAAGAACCAAAAAACCAAAATGCAAAAGGTAACAATATATTCTTTATTTATTTTAAATGATAAATGCTGTATATGAACACACTGGTATAACTAATAATGAACTGAAAAATAATAGTAAAAGGAGAAGGAAATAGTTAAGAGGGAAACATATAGAGGACATTCTTTACAAAAATGGGCATGGCCGTTTCTTTCCACATTTTTATCATATTTTTCAAAACAACAATTCTAATATTCAGTCAACATTGAAAGATTTTAGAATTCATAATCAAGAAAGGTCTAATTTGGTATCTAAATTGAAAAAATTAAGACGTTATTAAAAAAAAAAGTTATTAGAATATAACCTCATAATATCAAGACAGACATGCGGGGTGTTCATATTCTTTAACTGTCAAATATTTTATATTGAAGAGATTTTTTAAATCACAACTAGCTTGTTAAAAAATCCTTGAGTCGTTTACAGATCACATTATTACTTGTTGTATATGATTATTCATAGACCCTTGTGGGTCCTTTCTGATAAAACCTGCATGAATACTTTCTGTTTAAGACATATTTCTTGGTCATAAGTTATTCATGTAGTAATGTTATATTACCATCCATCCCACATGTATTAAATGAATCAAAATCAATGAATCGTTCTAGAAATAACAAGAGGCATAGCTAAGATCTAAATTTAGGCGGGGCAAAAATTGTAATGCGATGCAAATTTAGGCTTAAAGGCATTTAAATAGATATAGACTTCATTTCCACATTACTACTTGAGAAACATTTAAATTTAGTAAAGTAGTTATTTCGCCTGCCTTATTGCTGGTAACATACATAACAACGTCCATTGAACAATCAAATCTATAACTTAAATAATGTTGTCAATCAACTAAGGCAAACCCTGCAAATTATTTTCTTAATATATCAAAGTGGGAAGAAAATTTCTCACTTTAAAGTACATAAAGCGGCAAATTCCAAATTGAATTTTAGAACTCACTTTTATTTAAATTGCAATTAATTTATTTCCTGTCATAATAATAAGAAACATTTTCAATTTCTTAAAAAAGATTTGTTGAATAAATCGAAATATTGCAAATCTAAATCATTCCCTTAAATAAATATATATCTTATATTATTTGGTAATAATTGAAAAGAATGTTTAGAGTTATAAGTCTATTGAGGTGCAATTGGTGACATATCGATATGAATTATCAAAATGTTGAGGTAATTTTAGGATAAGATCTAGACACTCAACATAAATGAAAATGCTTATTGAATGGAAATGCTTATTGAATGGAAATGCTCATTGAATGGAAATGCTTATTGAATGGAAATGCTCATTGAATGGAAATGCTTATTGAATGGAAATGCTTATTTAATGGAAATGCTTATTGAATGGAAACACTTATTAAATGGAAATGCTTATTGAATGGAAACACTTATTAAATGGAAATGCTTATTAAATGGAATTACTTATTAAATGGAGAGGCTTACTGAAGCTTATTGAAGTACATTGTTCTTTTGACTGCTTATTTTTGGGATTTAATTTTTGAAACTTAGATAGTTCACTCATGAATTCAATTGCCAATGGGGCTGACGTGTGAACCTACTATTTCATGGCTATTACTCATTCAAATACAAATGCTACCTGTTGCCCTTCCACTACCTTGTGCTGTAATTGGTTTATATTTATAGGGTTTGTTATATTCTATTGTCGACAGTGGCAATCACAATGACCATATTAGGATTAAGTAATATAATGCCTTTAAGAGTGGATTACACATTATAACTTTCAAATAATCACCATGATCCATTTACTCTGAAACCCAAAAGTAAGCAGAAATAATACCACTCTGAGAAAGACAAATAAATGTAATGTGTACATGCTGATATGATCTCTAAATTAGCTGTATTGAATTTAAGCCACTGTGTATATTACAAAGCATTTTGATCCGTCAAGGTATTACAAAGTACCCTGAAGGAATATACTGGTTTCACAATATGATTTTAAAGTGGCCTTGCTAATGTCCCCTGACAGAATGGATAAAATTCCCAATTTCCATTGAATTGTTCAAGAATTCTGGTTTTAATGGTCTAACCAATATTAACTAGCCTCCAGGCCAAAAGTGTTTCAATTACATTAATGGAAATGTAGTCTACAGTAAAATTTAAATGTTTGGAACTATTTTGAATTTAAAAAAGAGCAATCAAATGATTGCAACAGTTTACAAAAAAATAGAAACATTAATGTACTTGTCCTAACTTTTGTATATTTCAGATAGTTATGTATAATGTGCAGCAAAGCTGTGGCCTTTTGTAATTTAGCGAGTTTCAGCCATGTTAATTTTTCCGAAAATAACATAGCAGAGAACCATCAAAATATAAGAGGCCACAGATATGATAGCTAAACTACAAAACAAACTAAAATATTCAAAAGTTAGGACATGTATGAATGTTTCCATTTTTACATATCCTGTTTCTATGGTCCTTTGATTGCTTATTTTTTAAATTAAAAGTAGTTCCAAACATCTAAAATTTTACTGTATATCAGCTCTTTTTATTTCTAGTCACATGGTACGTGATTGACCAATGAGAAATGAGTATCACAGCATGGAAATCATAAAAGATAGTAATTATTTCTATAACTATTTTATAGATTATTCAATTAAGCTGCATTGTTTTGCTGTGCAGTATTGGAAGCTGTTTTGCCGTAAGCTGTACCCACACTGCAAACTGCACTGTTAATACTGGAGAGGTTCGTCCTTTTATCATATTAAAATTTCAATGTTGCATACTGTAGGTGGATGAAATGTGATTGAACATCATTCAGATTTCAAAATTGCATCAGATGAAATGTAATTGAACATCATTCAGATTTAAAATTGCATGCTGCATTCAGATAAAATGTGACTGAATATCATTAAGATTTCAAAGTATCATTAAGATTCCAAAGTTGCATACTGTATTTGGATGAAATATGATTGAATATCATTAGGATTCCAAAGTATCACTAAGATTTCAAAGTTGCATTGTATTCTGATGAAATCTGATTGAATATCATAAAGATTTTAAAGAGTCATAACTTATATTTAGATAACATTAAACTCTAAATTTGACAGGAACCTTGGCATGAGGATCTGGGCTAAAAAAGGGTATTTCCAACACGTATCTGAATATATTTAAAAATTAAAGAAAAATAAAAGAACAAACAACTTTTCAGTCAGTGAAAATGATTAAACACTAAATTCAAGTAGTCTATGAATGGTGTGTTAAGAGGGGATTCTTTATATAAATTTATATTATATTTTGATTTAGGTCTGTAATGTTCAAGGAGCTTGTACAACTGGGACATGCGAGTGCCCCACAGGAGAAGTGGTCTTTAATTCTAGCTGCATAACACGTAAGTTTTTTTTATTATTTTTTTTATAAAATTTATTTCAGTTTAACATAATTATTTGCAGGTATGGTACAAAGATGAGGTTTTGAATTCATAAAGAGTATTTAAGTTACTCACACATTTTTCAATATACCATTTGTAAATAGATAACACGTAAGTTATCTTTTTCCTTGTTTGATGTTTTAAACATTATTTCCAATATTCAAAATATATGAAATGTGATGTTAACAATGGATTTTGAGCCACTTCTGACACTATAGTTTTGATTATGTGGAATTGCCCTCAAATGAAAATAAAAAGAGTCCATAACTAAAATGAACCAAAAATGGGTAATGGATATAAAAACATATGTTTAAATAAATCATAATTTTTTTCAAAAGCCGTGGCACATGCAGGAGCTTGTCTGACTTCGGGAGGGAGTACCAACTGTAAAACTACTGGTGCTACCTGTACCAATGGTACCTGCCAATGCACTGGAGCAGGACAGGCCTATTTTTCTGTGTCTGATGCATGTGCCCTTTCAACTTATGAGTCCCAAGCTACACTTGGTGGTGCCTGTAACGCAACTAAAATCTGCACTGGAAGTAAGTGGCTTTGTTTAGCTATCATTATGTGACAGATTATGCATTAAGCTGTTCTATTAGCATCATGTGACAAAATATGCATTAAGCTGTTCTATTAGCATTATGTGATAAAATATGCATTAAGCTGTTCTATTAGCATTATGTGACAAATAATGCATTAAGCTGTTCTATTAGCATTATGTGACAAATTATATATTAAGCTGTTCTATTAGCATTATGTGACAGATTATGCATTAAGCTGTTCTATTAGCATTTTGTGACAAAATATGCATTAAGCTGTTCTATTATCATTATGTGACAAATTATATATTAAGCTTTTCTATTAGCATTATATGACAAATTTTGCATTAAGCTGTTCTATTAGCATTATGTGACAAATTATATATTAAGCTGTTCTATTAGCATTATGTGACAGATTATGCATTAAGCTGTTCCATTAGCATCATGTGACAAATTGCGCATTAAGCTGTTCTATTAGCATTATGTGACAAATTATGCATTAAGCTGTTCTATTAGCATTATGTGACAAATTATGCATTAAGCTGTTCTATTAGCATTATGTGACAAAATATGCATTAAGCTGTTCTATTAGCATTATGTGACAAATTATGCATTAAGCTGTCCTATTAGCATTATGTGACAAAATATGCATTAAGCTGTTCTATTAGCATTATGTGACAAAATATGCATTAAGCTGTTCTATTAGCATTATGTGACAAATTATGCATTAAGCTGTTCTATTAGCATTATGTGACAAATTATGCATTAAGCTGTTCTATTAGCATTATGTGACAAATTATGCATTAAGCTGTCAATTAGCATTATGTGACAAAATATGCATTAAGCTGTTCTATTAGCAGTATGTGACAAATTATGCATTAAGCTGTTCTTTTAGCATTATGTGACAAATTATGCATTAAGCTGTTCTTTTAGCATTATGTGACAAAATATGCATTAAGCTGTCCTATTAGCATTATGTGACAAATTATGCATTAAGCTGTTCTATTAGCATTATGTGACAAATTATGCATTAAGCTGTTCTGTTAGCATTATGTGATAAAATATGCAATGAGCTTTTTGTAATAGGGTGACAAAAGACTAGATGCGAGTAGAAATAATCTTGATTTATGTCATTAAATATTCAAAATTCAGTCAAAGTGATGTCATATTTGAAATCTGCATGTAAAAGTACATCTACAAATATGGTTTCGAAAATTGTCTTTCATCTTTGAAAATTTAATTTTTTTGAAAATGTGACTTCTTGTTCGGGTTGATTCCCCATAGACCCCATGTTACAAAATCACAAAAAGTGAATTCTCTTCTCTTGTATTGGACAGATAACATTTTCTTTTACTGAACATATTTTAATTTGCATAACTATTAGATACATAAGGGTTATTTGAAAATTGAAGCACGCAAATAGATGTAAGTTAAGTTAAAGGGAACTTTCTACTATACCCGCCATGCTATCTGACCCGAACGAGCCACCTGGTGGTGAATCTGGTAACTACCTACTCGCATCTGCGTTAATGCACAAAGTTTAAATCAAAATATTGATAATTTGTCGTGATTTTTCTGTTTCAAATGGGTGAAAATGACATTTCATGTGGGTGTATGACTTCTTTAAATTTCTCAAGCACCCACTTGTTTCAATACAGAAGAGTCTTAACTCTTGACCCATACATTTTATGCCTATATATTTTTTCTATTACAGCTTATCAGACATGCACAAATAACACTTGTGTATGCTCACAGAGGGAGGTCAATGGGGTATGCAAATATAACAGTAAGTTAATATTGATACTTTAAATATTTAAATAGATCATTATTTTAACGACGTAAATTATGCCATCATATATCGTTAATTGCTTTAGTTTTGGCACTTCTTTGTCCTAGTCAGGAGGACCAATCAAAATCTTTATCAATAACCTGAGTTAATCGTTAGGATGTTTCTACAATGTATATTGTCACAACAATAGTCATTGTTAACAGTATGTTTATTGTAATCACAATGGTCATTTTTACCAAATTGGTTATGAATACCAATGCTCATTGTTGCTAAAATAGGCATTGTTATCACTATGCTTATTGTAATTTATTGTTACCAAATTGGTTATCAATACCAATGCTCATTTTTACCAAAATAGGCATTGTTATCACTATGCTTATTGTTATTTATAGTTACCATATTGGTTATCAATAACAACGCTCATTTTTACCAAAATAGGCATTGATATCACTATGCTTATTGTACTTTATTGTTACCAAATTGGTTATCAATACCAATGCTCATTTTTACCAAAATAGGAATTGTTATCACTATGCTTATTGTAATTTATTGTTACCAAATTGGTTATCAATACCAATGCTCATTTTTACCAAAATAGGAATTGTTATCACTATGCTTATTGTAATTTATAGTTACCAAATTGGTTATCAATAACAATGCTCATTTTTACCAAAATAGGCATTGTTATCACTATGCTTATTGTACTTTATTGTTACCAAATTGGTAATCAATAACAATGCTCATTTTTACCAAAATAGGCATTGATATCACTATGCTTATTGTAATTTATTGTTACCAAATTGGTTATCAATAACAATGCTCATTTTTACCAAAATAGGAATTGTTATCACTATGCTTATTGTTATTTATAGTTACCAAATTGGTTATCAATAACAATGCTCATTTTTACCAAAATAGGAATTGATATCACTATGCTTATTGTAATTTATTGTTACCAAATTGGTTATCAATAACAATGCTCATTGTTACCAAAATAGGAATTGTTATCACTATGCTTATTGTTATTTATTGTTACCAAATTGGTTATCAATAACAATGCTCATTTTTACCAAAATAGGAATTGTTATCACTATGCTTATTGTAATTTATAGTTACCAAATTGGTTATAAATAACAATGCTCATTTTTACCAAAATAGGAATTGTTATCACTATGCTTATTGTTATTTATAGTTACCAAATTGGTTATAAATAACAATGCTCATTTTTACCAAAATAGGCATTGTTATCACTATGCTTATTGTTATTTATTGTTACCAAATTGGTTATCAATACCAATGCTCATTGTTACCAAATTTTTGAAAAAGTGATACATGGTCGCATTTCCAAAACTTTAAATTCACTTTCAAAGTAATTTTGTTGTAAGTAGTTCCTTTGTCTGACCTTGGTGTTCAAATTCTAAATCTGAGGAAAATCCCCATGCGAGAGTCTTCATAAAGCTTCTAAAACTTGCTTTGATTTAACTTCCTAGTTACTAGTATACATTTACTTTTAATGTTTTCAGAGGTAATAGGAAGCGCATGCACACTCGACGCAGACTGCTCTGCAACCGCCTTTTTGTCTGTTTGCGTGAACAGCACGTGCCAATGCCAAACAAACTACACCGCTCAAAAGGTCTACGGTTTTAATGCACTCTTTCCCACAGCTACAATCCAGAATGATTTGGGTGGATTGGACATGTGTGTATACACTGGTAAGTATAGTTAGCTTTGTGTTAATTATTAAGAATGTATTATTTCAAGTTACATATAATACCAAACATTATTTCCACCTTGCCGGGCTTTATCTCATTAGAGAGGATATGCTTTATCTCATTAGAGAGGATATGCTTTATCTCATTAGAGAGGACAAAGCTTTATCTCATTAGAGAGGATATGCTTTTTCTCATTAGAGAGGATATGCTTTATCTCATTCTAAGACATGTGTTTTAATTTTTAAATAACAGGTTCCACATCAAAGAACTCTGGGGAGTCTTGTCAAGTCTCTGGCGATGGCACAACAACATTGGACGTTTGCTCCTCTTCTGCCCCCTACTGTGTAATGTGCGGTGACCAATCCATTAGCACCAATAAACTTTTGGGAAAATGCAGCACGGCTTCTTCAGTTTCTGATACTGTCGGAGGAAATGACGGAGGCAGTGGTGGCAGTGGAGGTATGTTAAGGCATTATAGTTAGGGTGTTCAATGTAAGGGCATTAACATATATGTCAGGGCATTAATAGTTAGGGTGTTCAATGTAAGGGCATTAACATAAATATCAGGGGCTTAATAGTAAGGGTGTTCAATGTAAGGGCATTATAGTTATTACATTAAATGTAAGGGCATTAACATATTTGAATGTGTTGTTTTAAGACCGAGGTCATGATATGTTAGGGCATTAACAGAATATTTAATGATGAAAATCAATGATAATATAATATAAATAATACACTATAATATAATATAATGTAATATTATATAATATAATATAATGTAATATTATATAACATCTATTTTCAGCCGAGATCAAAACTGCCAGCATGTTGGTTGCAGCCTTAACTGCCCTCATGTCAGTTGTCATGGTTTAAATAAAGATGGCGCTGATGGTTGGTCGATGACTAAGAGAAATCAATGATATTAACTGCCTGTTATGATAGATATTTGGAACGGCAGATTATGAAAAATGTCATATGACCTTTCCCATGGACAACCACAATGAATAAGACTGATAATTAGGATTTTACATCATCATCTTAACTACTTTACTGGTTTCATTCTGATGAAACCCCACGTGAAATGACCGATATATTAAAGTTTCATGATGGTATCTTGAACGTAAGCATTGATGAACACTAAATCCTGTTGAAAATGAACACCTATAGTACCTTAATCTTAAAATAGTATTCAACTTGGAAGGTGCTCTATAGATGTTCATTTTGAACGTTATGTAATTGGGTTACCAGACTTTGAAGTATACCACCTTGGGAGATTAATAGGTTATAGAGGTATTCCATTTGTCAGGTTTTATTGTATCATTCGAGCAATTGACATTATTGAGACAACCTGTATATAGTAATTGATTTATTATACAGGGTGACACAAAAAATAACAAACCTCCATTTTGGAATTTCGATCACATGTCATGAAATCTTCACAAATTTTAATGCATTGACAGGGCACTCAATGGGGGAATCAATGGTATACTTATATCATATGACTCTCAAATTCAGAAAATTCATGTTTCTTGTCATGGCACTTAAATTTAGACTCTCAAATTCAGAGAATTCATGTTTCTTGTCATGGCACTCACATTTAAAAATCTACCTTTTTGTGACATCCTGTATCCAGATTGATTGATTGACACAAAACCTATGATATATTATGAGAACAATTTTATAAAAGTAGTTTAGGCTACTCTAATGTAAATAGTTCACACATTTTAGCTTAACAATTTATTATAAATAATAAGTTTATTAGAAAATAATAGATTTGTTATAAATATTTCAGATTATTGTAAATCATTTCATAAGTATTCAACTTATATTGTAAATACTTTTTTGCATGTGCATAAATAAATGTCTGATTTGGCCAATGACTCATTGTTCATTTATTGTTAAAAGTGTGACTAAGATACTTTCTGACCTTTGCTTCAGAAAAAGTCATTATCAAAAGAAGTTTTTTGTTGACAGGATAATTTCAAATCATCTAACAATCTGCATTACTTTATCAGCTTTTTGCAGCTAATGCAAAAAGAACAAAAATTGAGCTTGGCAATGATAAGTTTATATCATGTATTAAACAATAAAGAAAAGAGGACTTAATATTGAACCTTGGTGTATTCCCCAATTAATAGTGTTTGGTTCAGAAATAAAATATGTGTATTAAGTTCTTTGGATTCTATTTTGAAAGTCAAGTGACATAACACAAATAACATAAAAGTATAACAGGCTGCCCTTTTCTCAGCTTTTTGCCTTGGCTGCCATAAGCCTCTTTTATTTGGTTCATTAATGAAGTAATGTCTTACTAATTCATAAAAAAACTACTTTTTGAGATGAGAATAGATTTGTATTTCCATGCAAAAAATAGTTTTGTAAGATTCTAGCTGAAATTAAACTCAACATAATTTTTTTTATTTCTTTGTGTTTATTGGTTAAGTTTGCTTTTTTGTCACAATTGGAACTGTAAAATGAAGACCAATACTCGTTTTTTGCCTCGATTGTGCAGGAATTGAACCCAGGACCTTCCAGTTCAGAGTCTGTTGCTCTAACCCTTAAACATCAAAACAAGTTAAGTCAACATAGCTGAGCTGTATCAGTAACTTGCTGTGAGGGTCATTAAGGTAATTTCAAATCTAAATTTCAAGACCTTTCTCTTGATAAAATCACAAAACTCCATGATCGAAGGAATAAAAATGTTATTTTAAATGAGCCTACCTTCCATGTTATCTACATCAACTTCAAATGTTGTTCCATTCTCTTGCCGCAACTCCCCTATATTCAATCCTTTCTTGATTTTAATTCTGATATCCTATAAAATAGAAAATTATGAGAAAGATTGAATTTGTTTATCTTTATGAGTATATGTATTCAATATATTCTATCCTTTCTTGATTTTAATTCTGATATCCTATAAAATAGAAAATTATGAGAAAGATTGAATTAATTTATCTATTGTAGAGTCAGTATATTCCAATCTTTTTTGATCAAAATTCCCAAATCCTATAAATATAAAATTATGATAACTGTTTAATTACATGTATAGTTTTTTCCTTCGAGTCTGAGAAAATTTAGATACCTTTTTGATGTATCCTATTCACTAAAACAAGGCATTAACATGCAAAATGTCATGACCTGGTATTTGTTACAGATGCTGACCATTGAATACAAATTTTCAAACACCAACTGCCGAAAATGTTTCACAAAAGGTTCACTACAACAAATTTTGTTACCACCACAGTATTACATCTTCTTATACTTTTTGAACTCTAAAATAACAGAGAAGTTTGAATTATTGTTTATTCCCAAAGTTGCCATGCCATTTTCAATTTGATTTTGTTTTATTGAAGTTACAGGGGTTTCATAAGCAGCAGGCAACAGGCGATTTTCATTGGTTGTTTTCACAAAATCGCCTGTTATTTTTAGGGACTTCACAACTCGTCCATGTTAAATTTACAATTTCCATTAATTTTGGCTGTTGTTATCATTTATTTAGCCTGTTGTGAGAAATTCTCGTGAAACCTCTGAGTTGGGTTTCATCTTCCCTCTTTGAATAAGAGATGATCCTTTTTTGCCATTGCCTTATACATTCAGATTAAGATCATCAAAACTCAGTTGTCCAATCAGATTTACATTCACAGTATTGCATGGATTTTAAAAACTTCTGAAGTGAGAATACACATTCTGATTTATCAGAGCCCCTCCCTGCCTAAAGCTTGTTAGAGACTCTGATTTATCAGAGCCCCTCCCTGACTAAAGCTTGTTAGAGACTCTGATTCATCAGAGCCCCTCCCTGCCTAAAGCTTGTGAAAGACTCTGATTCATCAGAGCCCCTCCCTGCCTAAAGCTTGTGAGAGACTATGATTTATCAGAGCCCCTCCCTGCCTAAAGCTTGTTAGAGACTATGATTTATCAGAGCCCCTCCCTGCCTAAAGCTTGTGAGAGACTATGATTTATCAGAGCCCCTCCCTGCCTAAAGCTTGTGAGAGACTATGATTTATCAGAGCCCCTCCCTGCCTAAAGCTTGTGAAAGACTCTGATTCATCAGAGCCCCTCCCTGCCTAAAGCTTGTGAGAGACTATGATTTATCAGAGCCCCTCCCTGCCTAAAGCTTGTGAGAGACTATGATTTATCAGAGCCCCTCCCTGCCTAAAGCTTGTTAGAGACTATGATTTATCAGAGCCCCTCCCTGCCTAAAGCTTGTTAGAGACTCTGATTTATCAGAGCCCCTCCCTGCCTAAAGCTTGTTAGAGACTATGATTTATCAGAGCCCCTCCCTGCCTAAAGCTTGTTAGAGACTATGATTTATCAGAGCCCCTCCCTGCCTAAAGCTTGTGAGAGACTATGATTTATCAGAGCCCCTCCCTGCCTAAAGCTTGTTAGAGACTATGATTTATCAGAGCCCCTCCCTGCCTAAAGCTTGTTAGAGACTCTGATTTATCAGAGCCCCTCCCTGCCTAAAGCTTGTTGGAGACTATGATTTATCAGAGCCCCTCCCTGCCTAAAGCTTGTTAGAGACTATGATTTATCAGAGCCCCTCCCTGCCTAAAGCTTGTGAAAGACACTGATTTATCAGAGCCCCTCCCTGCCTAAAGCTTGTTGGAGACTATGATTTATCAGAGCCCCTCCCTGCCTAAAGCTTGTTAGAGACTATGATTTATCAGAGCCCCTCCCTGCCTAAAGCTTGTGAAAGACACTGATTTATCAGAGCCCCTCTCTATCTAAATATTGTGAGAGACTCTGATTTATTGTAAGACAAAACATGTTTCTAGCCTGTGCATTCTCCATGTAAACCAGCATGTGGTGTGTCATTATAGACATCAAAATTCACCCAATAAGAAATATTTTGAGATTCAATGCCTTCAATTTAAGTTGCCAGATAATGTGTTTATCAACAGGTGCTTGTCATTAGTTAATGTCATATCTTAGTTAACATACCAATTAGTTTAAATACTTTTATTGGCTAATCACAAAAAGGTTATATCTTAGGAAATTTGAGCTATACTTTAAATATTATTATCAAATATATTACACATAATGATGTGTATGTTTGGTGATTTGACAACACTGTTGTCACTATGGCAATAATGATTATAATGACTGATTGTATTGTTACCCATCTTCGGTATTGATTTCTACATATACGTAGAGCCTTTCTAGAAATTTCTAAAGATTTACATGCGTATATATAATAAAGCCTACGACATGCCTGTAGCATGGATCAATTTACACATATTCCCTCCTTTGTGTACATAACGACCACAGGTGAATATAAAGGAATAAAGCATTGGCAATCAATAATAAGGTATAAAGACTTATCCAATTGGCTGTATGGCATTTGCTGAATATAGTGTAGATTTAAGCGCTAGATCATGACTCAGTACGTACACTCTATGTATTGATGAATTGGAAAATTAAGAAGGTAGTTATGTTTTGAAATTGGTGCTTTGGAGACTGTGTCTACACTAAGACTCTATAGACTCTTGGAAATATATGAAAACGGATTAGAAGTGAAGTTAATCTGCTATAAACAGTTTAACATCTATAGTAAAATGTATTGTTAAATATACTTAATAGACACGTAATTCATGAACATTTGGATTTGACACAGTGAGAATTGGACTTGATATTTCGTATAACATTAACAAGTATAAAATCCACATAACTAGAATTCAACCATGGCAGAATCGGAAGACTTCAGAGCATGGTGTCAAACACAAGGCCTAACTGAGAACACAGTACAAATGTTGCTGGATCATGGCTTTACAAATCAAGATACGCTCAGGCTTGTTACACAGCCTATTATTGATGCAGAGTTAGAGATGGAGAATCTTGGCCAGCGCTTACTGCTGAAAGAGGCCATCCACAAACTTTGGTTGACTTCATCAAGTGCTAATTCTATCCCTGGCCCTGCTTCATATATGGCACCCCCAGCATATGATACACTCACACATGGAGACCCCCCTCCAGCACCTGGGGAATTATTTCCATTGGAGACATTGTACTCATCAAATACCCGACTTCCTCCACTACAGGATGTGCATCCTCCACCGAAAAGCATGACTTTTCCATCAGCGCAATCAATCTCTACAGTAGATCTACCAACTGGTACATCGACACAACCAGGACAATCGGCTACTTCACAAGCACAATCAAATGCTCTAAAAACTTCTGCAAAAAAAATTCCTGCACCGAAGAATGCTGCCAAAGTAGAACATGCTACTGTACCCATAGATGCTAAGATTGTCGTCGCAACAGAAAAACACCCAGAAAAACAACCAAAAAAGAAAACAGATGTGGCAGAAGCGGACACTCCCAAAGCGCAATCAGCTGCTAAAGAGAAAACAGCTGCACCTAAGATGGCTGCAAAAGCTCCTGTTTCTAAAGATGACAAGATTGTTGTTACCATGGAACAAGACCCACCTAAAGAATCAGGCAAGAAAACAAATGCACAAGCAGACACTCCCAAAGCACAAACAGCAGCTAAAAAGACAACAGCTTCACCCAAAAAGGCTGCCAAAGTAGGACAAGCTCCTGTCTGCGAAGATGACAAGATTGTTATAGCCACTGAACAACCAAAAAAGAAAGCAAAATTTTCTTATACTAACCCATACGGCAAAGCAATGATCGATTTAACTTGGTTAGCAATTTGGTTTTGTTTTCCTTTGCTTGGTATAAGTATAGCATCAGCCTTTAACAATACTTCAACATGGAAGTATTTTACGGGATTATGGGTCTTTATTATCATCGCAATAGCTGTGTTTTATGGGGACAAAATTAAGAAATTACCAGCAGGAAATTCAGTTACTGAGACTTTCTTTATAGTTATGAGTGTATTGCTTCATTTGGCACTTGTAGCTTGCTTGGTAACCATGGCAACCTCAGCTTACGGAATGTACATTGACAGGGAAATACATGTCAATGGCACATCATGTGATGATAAACTTCTAAAGACGTTAAACTTAACATGTGACCATAATGCAACAAGTAACGAGACATATACCGGGCCTAATGTCATAGGCTGGAACGACCAACAGTTCTTCCAAACTGGTAACATAGCACTTGCATATATTGTATTTGTTATAGTTGTGTGGGCGTTATATGCCAGACGTGACTTCATCAACGAATTACCACCAATCACGTTTAAAAATGACACGGAGAAAGGATTCCTCAAAACAAGTTTCATGTTTAAACTTACACCAATATCTTTCCCATTCTTATCTATAGTTGAAGTGGTATTCAAGACAACGATGTGGCAACTTTTCCTCCCTCTGATATCTGGTTGTATTCTCCTTATCACAGGATTTCATGCACACAAGTTACATTTTCTACCAAAGGGTGACAAGAAAAAGAAGCGTTATAAAGTCCAACTAATTTTATTAACTGTTTCAATGGTTGTGGTCCTAGCGATGGTTAGTGTCCACGGCGCTGGCATTTATCTGGATAATGAGATACATGAATATGGAGTTTCTTGTGATGAGGTCTACATAAAATACTTTAATTACACTTGTGAAGTTGAAAAGTCTGCAGGTGAGACTGGGCATACAACACATGCTTATCTTAATACAGGAGAACTGAATTACAAACAGGGCATCCATTTGGGTATTGTAGTCTTAGGAGTATTTCATGTGATTTTTCTGTTTATAGCAATTAATTCAGGTTCTGTGTTTATGGTACAAAATGATCTCAAATGCTGCTAGAATAGAAGATAAGCAGGCCCATAGCCAGTGAGAAACTGCCTGATTTTGAAAGAATTTTTGATAAGGGGGGGGGGGGGAGGGTGAGCACCTCTACACTCCCTTGGGTAAAGAATGTAAAAAGGAGAGCGGTTGGTTTTGACAAAAAATGCTTATAAATCATTTTCAGTGGAAACAAGGCATTAACAAGACATAATGCCATCAGGTTTTAATTGTACAAAATATGCTGTTATTATATTGTGTTTTAACTGTTATTATATTTTGTGACAAGAAAATACCATTATATAATAACATCAAGTTTTAATTGTACAAAATATACTGTTATTATATTGTGTTTTAACTGTTATTATATTTTGTGACAAGAAAATACCATTATATAATAACATCAAGTTTTAATTGTACACAATATGCTGTTATTATATTGTGTTATAATTGTTATTATATTCTGAGACAATGTATCAATATGACATTAGGTTTTAATTATACAAAATATTCTGTTACTTTATCATGTTATAACTGTTATTAGACTCCAGATTGAAAATCTGGAGTCTATTGCTTTTGCCAGTTTTCTTCTTCTTCTTTTTTTTCTTATTCTTCCTCCTTACAAGATTTCTCACCAACTAGAAGAACTTACTTTAAGCTGCCTACATGATCAACTAGGAATGTATCTGGGATTATGGGAAATTAGGTCAAATTTTTATCTAGGTCAAAGGTCAAGAACTAGGTCAAATTTAAGTCAAATCAACATTCTGTCAATTATCTTCGTTGTTGTTTGTCGTTACTCCTTCATCTTTTTTTCATCATGTAGCTTAGAAAAAAACAAATCGAGAATATGCCATCCGTTTTTTGATTATTCTTACCGATTTTGAGATATGGCGTCCGGAAAGTAGGTCAAACTAAAAAGTTAACCAAATTTAACATATGAGCTATGAAATAAGTGTAGAATTTTCTCAGGAATCCGAATCTGCAAACCAAATTCCGATCCGACTTCCGGTTCGAAAGTTATGGCGCTTTGAAAATTTCGAGAAAAATCGATCTGATGATATCCTGATAGAAAGCCAAGGGTAGCAAAGAAAATATAGAAAAAATCATCCATCCTTCCTTCCTATCCTGTCTGATCATATCCTTCCTATCTATCCTTCCTTTCTATCCTTTCCTTCCTATCCTATCCTTCCTTCCTATTCTATATCCTATCCTATCCTAGAACTGGGTCAAATCTTACATTTTCAATATTCTATCAATTATCTTCGTCGTTATTTATCGAAACATCTTCATATTTTTTTCATCATGTAGCTTATAAACAGCCCTTTCATAATTGTGCCATTCGTTTTTTTATATCTCTTACTGATTTTGAAATATGGCGTCTGGAAAGTAGGTCAAAACAAAAAGTTCTCCAAATTCAATGTATATGGCGGTTTGAAATTTCGAGAAAAATCGATCTGATGGTATCCTGATAGAAAGTCAAGGAAAAAAGATTTTTTTGAAGTGTAAAATACGAGATATAGACTGAGTACAGCTTAAGATAATGAATTCCTATAAAAGAAGGGGACCTCAAAAGCTACCTAATTTCAATATTTGGACACCAAAATGCCTAGGTCAAAATCTAGGTCAAATTCATAGTTTTTCCTTATTTTTGCGATTCTGGCACTACACTTTTAGGATTTGCTTCAAAATTTTGTATACAGGTAGAAAAGAGTGTGCTAATAGTGATAGCCTTTTGCCGTCGGAAAGTATTTTGACCCATTTTTGAGATATGGTGTCCTAAAAGTGGGTCAAAATAAGAAAATCTCCAAATTTAATGTATGAGTTATGAAATAAGGGTAGAATTTTCCTAGGAATCTAAATCTGCAAACAAAATTTCGATTTGATTTCCGGTTCGGTAGTTATGATGTTTCGAAGTTTAAAAAAATCGATATTATGATATCCCTCTGTTAAATCTATGGAGCTCAAGAAAATTATGAATTGTAAATATACGAGATAAAGACTGGAAACAAATAAAATAAATGAAAGCCTACAACAGACGAGGACCTCCGAAGCTCATTTAATATAAAATTTGGACACTGAAAAGCCAAGGTCAAGAACTGGGTTAAATCTTACATTTCTAACATTCTGTCAATTATCTGGGTCACTATTCGTCATTATTCCTTTATCTTTTTTTCATCACGTAGCTTAGACACAGCCCTTTTATTAATGTCACTGTCTTTTTTTGATTACTCTTACCGATTTTGAGGAATGGCGTACGGAAAGTAGGTCAACACAAAAAGTTCTCAAAATTCAATGTACAGTGTATGAGTTATGACACAAGCGTAGAATTTACTCAGGAATCTGAATCTGCAAACCAAATTTCAATCCGACTTTCGGTCAAAAATTCCTACTTACCTACCTACCTACATACCTACTTGGCTACCTACTTAGCTACCTACTTCTCAGCTACCTACTCAGCTACTTACTCAGCTAACTACTCAGCTACTTACTCAGCTACCTACTCAGCTGCTTACTCAGCTTCCTTCTCAGCTACCTACTCAGCTGCTTACTCAATTACTTAATCATCTACTTACTCAGCTTGCTGCTCAGTTACTTACTCAGCTACCTACTCAAGTAAATCAATCTGGAGACTTAAATTGAACTTTGTTCAATTTACCAATCTAGTTATATTCTGTGACAATATGACATTAGGTTTTAATTGTACAAAATATGCAGTAATTATATTCTGAGGCAAGGCTATTATATACATAGGTCACAACCTGCTAAATTATTGCAAAAGGGGTTAAACTATGTTATACAAGGGGCGATCAATATATTCTGATAAAAATGCTGTAATTTTGTGATTTTGTTTTTAAACATCACAAAATGAGAGCATTTTATCAGAATATATGGATTAAGATTCAAGATTTTATTGTGTTTCAAACCAAACACTTGGTTTCCTCACAAAATCAATTACAAGACATTTACATATAATAATACAGTTAAAAAAAAAAAAAAAACATGCATTGTTTCACAAATACCATCATACAATCTTTCCTTTTTCAAATAGCTCCCGACGCTGATTAAAAAGTTTATTTATAAAATGTATCAATTCGTTAACAATTTCAAAATCATCAGAAGTCATCAAAAAGTTATATTTTTCTTCATCTGACATATTATCAAATGTGTCAATAAAACTTAGTTTATTAAAAAATTCAAATCTACATTTTTTATAGCCATCACACACAAGAAGAAAATGTTTTTCATCCTCTACTTCCCCCTTATTGCAAATCTGACAAATTCTTTCATTTATTTCAAGTCGATGCTGTTTAGTGCCATCTTTTTTCTTTTTCTCGTGTCTCCCTGTTTCAATTCTTAAATTATGGTTTGCTAATCTAAACCTGGCCATTTTAAAAATTAACATTTTGTTCACGCTTAATGTTAAATATCTTTCCAGATTGTAATCAATTTTTATATAATTTCCAAGTTTTCTATTTTCCCTTATGGCTCTATCATTAAGTTCTATATATTTTCTTTGCATTTCAAGTTTAATTGCTTTTAGTAATCGTTTTATTCCAAACGTACTCCCATTTTCAAAGACATGTTGAAAATGAAAGTACATTTTTGTACTTTAATACGCATTCCATATGTTTGACATATATGTTATTTTTATCCCGAAATGATATATTTATTAAGCTATCCGCGTTTGTTTGATGCACACATTTCAACCAATATTTTATGGAATATATAAGTGAGTCTATAGCTAATGGAAATCTTCCTAAATCTTTTTTTACAGCATAACTTGAAGTATATTTGTTAACCCCTAAAAGGAATTTGCAAAATTTATTGTGTATTTTTTCAGGAATAAAGTCTTCATAAGAACTCTCTAGTTTAAGGTCCCCTTGACTAATCGCCCCATGTATGTACGGACACTGAAAAATCAATTTGTAACCACCATCAATCGGAGATAAACAAAATGATTCCATGTATGTACAGTAAATACATTTTTAGCAATTAAAGTAATAAAAAACACTTCTTGGCTGTGATTTAGAATAATTAAAAATGTTGAGCATTCCTCTTAATTATTGCAAATGCAAAAATAGCTGCATATCTGAAAATGCAGAATATCAAAAGTTATTTGATGTTAAAGGTAAACCGCCTGGCAAATATCTCTTTAAATTATTAAAAACTACCTGTATATATTTATAAATAATATTTATCACTAATTGTAACATTATTCAAACAGGGTAGTAAACAAGGCATTAACATGACAAAATGTCACCACCTAAAACAATTTGGTCAATTTAAAGCAAGTTGGAAAATACCTTTTGACCTAAAGAAGAACTTCTGAGAACATGTAGATGATTTTGAAAAAAAATTAGTCAATTTGAAGCAAGTTGAAAAAAGACCTTTTTGACCTTGAGAAGGTCATTGAAGGTCAAATGTCAAATCTAAAGTCAGATTTGAAGGTCAAATGTCAAATCTTAAGTCAGATTTGAATTTCTGAGAACATGTAGATGATTTTGAAAAAAAATTTAGTCAATGTGAAGCAAGTTGAAAAAAGACCTTTTTGACCTTGAGAAGGTCATTGAAGGTCAAATGTCAAATCTAAAGTCAGATTTGAACTTCTGAGAAGATGTAAAGTCAAATTTGAACTTCTGAAAAGATGTAGATGATTTTGAAAAAAAAATTTGGTCAATTTGAAGCAAGTTGAAAACAGACCTTTTAGACCTTTTTTGACCTTGAGAAGGTCATTAAAGGTCAAATGTCAAATCTAAAGTCAGATTTGAATTTCTGAGAACATGTAGATGATTTTGAAAAAAAAATTTAGTCAATTTGAAGCAAGATGAAAAAAGACCTTTTTGACCTTTTTTGACTTTGAGAAGGTCATTGAAGGTCAAATGTCGAATCTTAAGTCAAATCTAAAGTCAGATTTGAATTTCTGAGAACACGTAGATGATTTTGAAAAAAAAATTTAGTCAATTTGAAGCAAGTTGAAAAAAGACCTTTTTGACCTTTTTTGACTTTGTGAAGGTCATTGAAGGTCAAATGTGAAATCTAAAGTCAGATTTGAATTTCTGAGAACATGTAGATGATTTTGAAAAAAAAAATTAGTCAATTTGAAGCAAGTTGAAAAAAGACCTTTTTTGACCTTTTTTGACTTTGTGAAGGTCATTGAAGGTCAAATGTCAAATCTTAAGTCAAATCTAAAGTCAGATTTGAATTTCTGAGAACACGTAGATGATTTTGAAAATCTTTTTTAGTCAATTTGAAGCAAGTTGAAAACAGACCTTTTTGACCTTTTTTGACCTTGAGAAGGTCATTGAAGGTCAAAAGTCAAATCTTAAGTCAGATTTGAATTTCTGAGAACACGTAGATGATTTTGAAAAAAAAATTTAGTCAATTTGAAGCAAGTTGAAAACAGACCTTTTTGACCTTTTTTGACCTTGAGAAGGTCATTGAAGGTCAAATGTCAAATCTAAAGTCAGATTTGAAGGTCAAATGTCAAATCTAAAGTCAGATTTGAATTTCTGAGAACATGTAGATGATTTTGAAAAAAAATTTA